TTTTTTTTTTGTAACTATGTGACTCTCATTCAATAAAATTATGCAACCATTACTTTCTCTCTAAATGCATTAACCTTTCCACAACTCATTCAGCATTTGCCCTTACTCATCACAAAAGGCGAAGCCCTTAAGCCTGCGGCAGCACGACGACGTGCAAAAACGAGCGTAGCGAGTTGGAAGCGGCTAGTATTCTTACACTGAAATTGCCTGGGCAAGTTCAACAAGGTGGGGTGTATAATGTGGTGGGGGTGAGGAGATACTGATGGTGGAGGGGGAAAGCATACAATCTAATGGGGGTGGATAAAGAGAGATAAATTAATAATTCTAATTGGTAGGCTAAGACTTGGTGGTGCTAGGGTTCATGCTTATTTCAACCTGGGCGGGCGCCGCAATTATTCATAATTTGTTTATTTCCAACGACCAACAATCGAGAACCATAGAAAGCGGCATTAAAACCCTCAAGAGCAAGCTACTGGGGACGGTTCCGTGGGATTCGAAAGCAGGACTTTGGCTTCAAATCATATATTTTTAACCACTGAACTAGGGGAATAGGTCCGTGCTTATAATGCAATATTTTTAGAAATTATTCGCACACAATTTAAAACCATTAGCAGCTACACTTTAGTTGACTATCAATCCTTTCTTTATTATTAAAAAAGCAGTGAAGCTTGTCTTTTTGAGAAAAGAAAAGATAAATGTGGTCAACACTTATAAATAATACGTAGTTGATAAATTAACAGAGACTTTGTTTAGATAGTCTGATCTTGACTTCTTTTTCTTTTCTTTTCTTCTTTGGATCAAAAAGCAAGACCAGCTATTCCTTAGCTGGCCCTAAGGTATATTATATTCTTTACTCTTGCAAGAAACTGATATGTAGTATTATAGATCACAATCGAAACTAACCCGATGTTGGCTGGGGATAGCTTGGTTCTTACCAAATTTTGGTCCCATACATTCCTTCAGCCCCTTTCGCTCCTTTGGCCACACACTCTCTCTATGCTCTCCTCTATGCTCTCTATGCTTGCTCTTTCCAGGCTGGTTATCGCCAACCCAACCCAGAATACACTTTTGGTAAGATATTAATAATCTGTTTTACAAGCTTACTTATTTTTCTTGTTTCTCTTTTTCTCTTATAGGCTCTCTTGTTCATAATGTAAGTATTTAATATCAAATTAATAACTGATTTACTAAATGGCTCTTTTATATCTCATTCTTTTGCTTCTGATGGGCCCTCTTTTCATTATTTGTTGTCCGCAATTAACATTTTTTATCAGTGTGCGATAAACAAATGAACATCTTACCTTTCAAGTTACGAACCAAGTAGATGTCTACAAAACGAGGAATATATTTATAATTGCCGTATTTATATAGATCACATATCTCTCAGCAATAGACAACATCAGATATTTATAGTCACTTTCCAATATAAATAGTCAAGCTGTTTCTCTCTCATTGACTAGTTATTCTTTCTGTTTCATAGTAAATGCTGCCAGCTGACTCTTTTTACTGTTTCCCACTTATAAGTGTAACGATGCTCTTTCCTTTCAAGAAGAAAAATGATAATAATGCGCCAGCAAGCTATTAGTATTTTCTTCTGTTTGGAAAACACTCCTGAAAACGACGCTGCTTGGGAGAAGAAAATTGCTGATTTTGGTGAATACCATGTTTATTATGAAAATGATCCAAAGCGACCCCTTTTTTATATTCTGCTTTTAAACTCGATGGTGAGATCCTTTTACTTGTAAGAGATGCGCCCCAAAGCGCTCCAAGCAAGTTACCAGAAAGCATGTTCTTATTAAATACAGCAGCATGCCCAAGTAAGTTGCATGAACAACTGTGGACAATAGCTCATTAACTTTAGAGTACAGCTTTCGAAACACAAATGGTCCTTTTTTAAATGAAGCGCTCTTACCTGTCGACCCGCAGAACGATCTTTATAAGCATGATATTACAATGAATCAAACAACGACCAAAGTATCCAAAAAAGGCAATACTCCCTCCAAACTGCAAAATGCTCTTTTGAAAGGAAACTGAAGGCTGTTCAAGTCAAAAATGCATTATACAATTCGATTTATACGTGAATGCTACAACTTAAAATGGCATATAATTTATAAAATGTGCTTTTAACAATAGCTTTGGCTGTACTGTTTTATTAAAAATAAATTTCAGAAAGAGGATAAAATTATGACGTGTATGAAAAGAATAATTGGCGCATATTAAAGTATTTACGCAAAGGTTAAAAATAAAATGCGTGCAAAAGGAGACGACATACAAATGTGTAATGGGTACCAAGGAGGGAATATAAAAAATTATACAGTTAGTTATGTAAGAAAATTATTATATATAACTTACTCCGAAGGCATCTAGATGTGTCCTAGCGATAACTAGGACGGAGAATCATTGCTTTAGCGTATTCTAGTTCTTGGTTGCTCCTGATCGTCCACTCTTCTTCGACGTCTTGTAGGAGCAACAGCAACCCGACGAAACCTATGAGGAACCATGCCATTACGTCGAAGCCCACGAAGGATGTGCATGTAGTTGAGGCAAGCAGCAACATCCCTGTTCCATAAGCGATATCTATCTGGTGCTGCCATGGCGGATCTACAGTATAAATTGGTGCATCTACAAGCAATGTTCAATCACTATAAAGTCATACAAGTGGTTCATGTATTATTACCTTAAATGGCCATGGCAGACAACAGCAGGATATCGCTCATGTTGATACGGTCGTGGATTTGGAATACGACGAAGCATTTGGAGGCTTTCATTGTGGCATGTTGGACAGCACCTACTGGTCTTGTACCCATCTATAAGAAAGACTTGAAACCCATGTTTCTTGAAGAGTTTTCGGAAACCAAGGCAACGGATGTGCTCATGATACCTAGCATGGGGAGTGAACCAGTTTCCCATCATAAACACGGCGTCTTCTCCAAACTTGGCGCGTAAGTCTTGGATAAGCTTTTGATCGGCACGTTGTTTGTTGAAGTACGCTGAAATACGAATCTTGCGAAAGAGGGGGTATCCATTATCATGGTTTGTGATGGTATGTCCATAGAATCGACTGAGAACGGCAGACTGTTCAGATCTGGCTTGAAGGAAGCGGCCAAAGTCTTCTACGGATACGGTGCTGCTTGGCTGGTGAGAAAGGGCTTGCTCAGCTTGAACGACAGCAGGATCCTGGCCTTTGAAGTCTTACAGTGCTATCCATAACAAGATAATACCCTTTCATATGTGGGTACTGATCCATTTCATCCATCGTAGCCTTCAGAAAGCTAAAATAATGACCAGCTACTGTCCTTATACTCGTTAGCTCAACATAGCCTTCTCTCTTTCTTCTCTTGGCTGACGACTGCGGTAATCTCAGGCTATACTTTATTAATCCTAAAGCAGAGGTCGTACCTAAAATCGTTGTTGTTTGTGCTCGGGCTTTGGGCGCTGTGACTACAGCAAGCAATCCTTTTTTTGACCGGGCTATACTACGTTTCAAATTAATGTGAAATGCAGGCTCATTGAGAAAGACGCAATTAGTTCTAAAGTCCATGCTCGTACACTCCCACTTACGGACCCAGTCGAAACGCTCCTGGATTTTTTCTTCATTGTCCCTATCTACAGGCTGAAATTAGGCTTTTTTGAATGACAAGTTGCATTCAGTTCTTACAAAATTGTAGACAGTACTTTTACAGGTCTTGAGATCCTGAAATTTTTGAAGTAGTCACTCTATTGCTTGCTCCAAGACGGCTGAAGAATTCTCATATATGCGCTCCAAGATCACTTACTTGTGTTCTTCATGAAGTATACGCGAGCGACCGGTTTTCTGATGCTTTATGAAAATACTATCAGGATCTGTTTTGTACATTTGAGCCTATTTTTGAGCTGTGCAAATATAAATACCTAATCACTTTGCAGCAGCTGAAACACTCATAACTTTCTCAAACATCAATTTAAAGAATCTAATTTTGTCTTAATCTGTGTAGAGTGTGTGCGCTCGCTCACTCGACGCCTCCTTCATGCAAACATCTACATCATCTTTTGCGCCTTCATCTTCCATAGAGCCCATATCGAAGTTATTCTCCTGAGGCTGATTATGCAAACACTAGGTGTGTGAGCTAACTGTTTCTAAAGCATATCGCTCTTCATCAATGGTGTAGCCCATATGCTCAGGTCTACCGTATTCATCAACTGCATTAATGTGTCTGTCTTTATAGAAAATTTGAAAGCTCATTTTGTAATGCTTGGATTTTAATGAGAAAGAGAGTAAAAAGAGATCTGACAGTGCTTTCATGCTTAATATACTCATTTTGTACGACAAAGCTCCTACATATACGAAATCAACTAATGGTTAACGTGACATTAGAATTTAACAAGCGCGAATTTTACTCTTGGCATCAGTGTCAACATTTTTGGAAATACTGTATAACAGGTTAACCAAGGCTACTTCCTTCCTTGGCAAATAAATAGATGACGCCCAAAATACCTGCATACGTCAAATCTTCGGAGGCTCGCGTAATTCCTTCACAACAGTGATGTTACACCTGGCAAACCTACCAACCATGCAGGAACGCGCTTACTTCCTTCAGTCCCAATTCCTTCTACACACCTATACCCTCTCGGGTGATTCACTACTTTCTTAACGTCTCCCATTGATCCGCCAACCTAGAAGTCACTCTCAATGGTATAAACACTCTAGGTCCCCCATTTGGAAACTATGCTCACCAAACCCAGAATCCCTTGATCGCCGCTCATTACGATTTATGCAAAGGAAGTTCCGCCAAAATAACCTCAATTACAAGCGCTTTACGCACACCTCTGTTCTTCTTATACACTGTCGCCCGATTATCTCCCTAGACTCCATCCTTTGGCTACCAATGACCAGATCTGAGAGAAGTCGCTGTATACACTGACGCCTTGGTTGGCTTCCCAGTGGTCACGACAAAACCTGTCCTCAGCACCCCAACCAATCCTTCACCAAAGCCCACGCCATTCATTGCCTCCAGATGCACCTCCGACTTATGATACCCGAAATAATTTCTGATCTATTATCCTTCCTTTTGAACATGCTACCTATGAAGAAACTACGCTCCTTTCAAACCGCTTTCTCATGGACCATCCGTTGGCCAGCTATCTGCACTCTTCTTTTTGAACTTGACTACCTCCATCACCCAAAGCGTTCGCCTTCTCCGCTCCCTCACTAGTGTATCTTACACTTGATCCAACATCATTTCTTTCATAACTTTTTTACCCTTGATCCCATAAGGATTTTTTAGTTACCAATTCTTTATTCTTTTTTGACCTGTCTCGGGCGAAGAAGTTATATTATTATTATCGTGCGCCCACTCGAGGCTTTAATTGTAAATAAAACAGTTTAACCGTATAACATCTATATATAGTTTCTCTTTTGCCTGGCAGCTTTTGAATATTTTTTTGCCAAATCAATAGAATCGTACTACCCACTCATAGTAATATGTCTTGTTTCATAAAACAAAGACCTTAATATACTCTAGCCTTGCCTTCAATTTTTTTTTGACAATAACTGTCCAGCAATCGAGTGTCTTATTGTGGTGTTTAAATATTGCAATGCTACAAAAAAAACGCTTATTTTTTTTTCCGAGCTACTTCGTCTATTAAGGTTACTATTTCTTGAAGTATATGATCATTAGAGAAGAAACTCTAGGGAAACTCTGGTTCAAAACTCATGCATCATACACTATATGTATTAAATAAAGGGTTTATGGGTAAAATATATGCGGTAGGCAAGTAATACATGACTTGAAATATATAAAGAATGGTGAATAATAGCATTATTGACAGCCTTCTCTGGGGAAATGAGATCATGATCTTGGAAAGAGACAAAGTAATTAGCAGCCCAGAGAGCAACTGTAAATTTTTAAATGCAGGAAAAGACTCCAAATAAACAAAAGATTTATCTAATTCAATAGCGACGTTCCCTTTTCCCTAGAGTCAGTTCTTTTGAAGGAGTAACTCTGTTTCTAATTTGGTCAATTTTTTTAATGCCAGCAACGACGCCTGCTGTAAAGAGAACAATAAAAGGTATATTTTTTTTTCTCTTTTCTTTTTTTTTTCTCACTGACAAAAATGGATAAAGAAACAAATATGGAAATAAGCACAGACACGACGATGGGAACGAGCAGAGATATGACTAGAGAAGCAGACAGGGAGACAGAATTTTATGATTCTTTACTAGAGGACAAATTGTTTGACGACGTCGATTTTGAAGCTATGGACGAACAGATCAATCAATACATAAGTACACAAGGGCCTCAACCCTCCATTTTCTCCAATATGATGTCAACCGAACAACAATCCATAGACAGACATCAAGAAGATCAAGTAAGAATAGACGGAAAGAATACAGTTTATCTGACATCTTTTTTTTTTTTTAAAAAAAAAAGTATCGTCGTACCATCGATACACTCAAATTCGAGATTGAACGGTTGCGACTTGATAATGCGTCAAAAGATAACAAGTTACGCAATTTGGAACAATTACAAAAGAATTTAGAAGATATTGTAAGTTTAAAACCATAAGGGCGATACGCACGCGTTTCTTGGCTCTTGTTCCTTATTAAAACCATCTAGACTTATGATCGTGACAGACTTAGACGACACTTGGCTGTTGTGAAGCAGAATAAAATGATAGATTCTCAGCCACTGCCTGAACCAGCAAATCGAAAGCGAACCATCGTACAGACACCTGAAGTGGAAAGCAAGAGACCAACAATGACAACAACAATAACTACAAATCCAGTCATAACGCCTGTCAATGATCCACCTGCCGTCCTGCCTGCGGTAGTAATAGACAGTGACGAGATTGTGAGTTTAGAAAAACGATATTAGACACAATATTTATTGACCAGCCATAGAATGACCTTTACCGTATCCTACTTGGCCCACAATTTCAGAAAATGAATATAGAACAATACCAAAACAAGCTTCAGTATACACCTTCATCCATACAAGAACGTCTGAGATCGTTCAGCAAGCAATTTGCCTCGCAGTTTGTTCCACTCAACATCAACCAAAAGACCAAGGAAGATCTCGAGTTTTATGCGGCCGATATCGCCGAGAGCTTGGTCCACTGCGAATCTGCGAGCTTGACTATCCAGCAGATCTTGAACACGCTCAACGTGTGCTTGTTTATCGGCAAACGAGAGAAACTATTCATGCTGCTGAGAAACGCTAGTCAGGTCATCTTGATCTTGACTGCCAAGTTTGAAGATACCGCTTACCATCTCTGGAAGGCTGCCAAGGTCGACACGTCGATTCTCAACAGGCTTTCCCAGATACTCGACCTATACTGCTTTTGTGATGAGCCTCTTATGCAGGCGATCCAGGATCATCCTGATATAGAGCAAAAGAGTTATTCGGAGATCTCAACGATCGCTGATATGTATCGAACAACGCCGCTGCAAATCACAGAGGACTTGAACAAGAAACGTAAACCGGCGTTTGCAGAAGAGACTGTGATGAACGTATTAAAGACATTCTTGAAAGTCGCACAGGAAGCAGATGATACACCCATGTAAGGGCTTTCTTGATGCTCAAAGAACATATCACTAACTAATGTTTATATAGTTTGATTCTTTTGAAACAGAAGGGATTTATCGACTTGTTCTCGACAGACACACCGCTGTATATCATCAAGGCTTGCTTAGTACTCGTAGAGACTTTGGATATGTTTAAGCGAAAGGAAGATATTTTGAATAGCTTCCTGATCGATCAACTGATAGATCTTGTCTTTGTCAGTCAAGGGCGGTTCACAACAGTGCAGGTAACTTTAAACGGATGTGTCTTGTACAAATGATTTATGGCTCCCTTTTTATAGTGGTATGAACTTCGACATTTAGCACTCCGTTGTCTATATCATATGGCCATTGCAAGCATTGGGTTAGAAAAGTTGGTAAGAGGGAAAGAAAAAGAGATTGTTCACATTATACATATTTTTTAAACTATATAAATTATAGTCTATACAAAAACTAGTAAAATTAGCTGAAGAGATTATAGAAAAGATCAACTTTTTATTAAAGAAAACTGTACATAATCATGCGTAAGTAAAAAATAAAATAAAATATAAAATAACTAAAGAACTTGATTTAATATATATTTTAGGGACAATATGCTTCATTATATATTTAATCTACTGTACTTTATCATCGGTCAATATCCAAATAGTATGAATGAACAAAACCATTCTTTATTTATCAAACTTGTAACAAAAGCCAACGACACAATAGATGAAAACATGACTGGTAAGAAGAATACAAATTTATATGATTTGTGTAGTTAACATTAAAATTAGCATACGAATCATTTCAAAAACTTGAAGAATACATAATAAATGATAATAAATAACTAAGATGAAACACCAAATGAATCCACCAGCATAGCATTGATAATATTGACCCATTCTTGAGCATGATTTCGATCTTCAAATGTATACGATTTATCAGGCTATCATAAAAATTAGCTAATAATTATCAAAAACAACAATAGCTTACTGTATGAATACAAAATGTAGATTTTCCTTTGAGTTCTGGCAATAGTTGAGATGTCCAAGGTATTTCGCATCTTAGATTACCATCCAGTTTATCCTTGTCTGTGCCTGGATCAAGATAGAGCAATCTTGGTCTATTGGTCAATATTAAATTTCGTTTCTTTGAAAATAGCAATCCTCGTCGTCGAATTACTCTTCCTGATTTCACAATGGATTCGTTAGGATAAAGATGCGGTATCCTTTTTTATATAATATTCTCTCTTTATTAAAACACACATGCGCCAAAGAAAAAAAAAGCAATTAAAATTGTGTGAAGCTTACCATAGTGGATGTGATTGTTCTCCTATTCTCTCTACCACATGTTTATCCTCTTTATTCGATGATGAAGAGATACGCGTAAGACTCGACTGTTGGCTAAGATGGTGACGATGATGATGAGGCGGTGAGTATGTGCTTGGTGGATAAGATTGTTGTTGCTGAGGATCACTAAAAGGATCATTTTCGTCCTGGTTAAACCAGACGTCGTCCACTTGTGGTGGTGGGTTTTTTCGTAACTCTTCGGCCAGTTTCTCTCGCAAGTAAGCATATGGGCTGGGTTCTATAAAAAGATTGTTCCAATCGATGTTTTCAAAGAATGGATGTTGTTTTATGTCGTCAATATTTCCTCCTGCTCCTAACCGTTCTCTCGGGTTTTTCACGAGTAGCCGTTGAATGATATCCTTGGCTACCTCTGGGAAGTTGTCTGGCATGGTATACTCTAAATTCTTAATCTTTTGAAAAATAAGATAGTCTGTAGGTGCCTTAAAAGGTGATTTTCCAGATAACATCTGATAGATAACACACCCAAAAGCCCAGTAATCTGCCCTATATAGTTGACGTATAGATTGGTCAGTATATCTCTCTCTACAAACTCATTCTTTTCTCTCTCTTCTCTCTTTACTCTTTCGATACTGGTTCACTTGAAAGTAGTTCGGGTGAGACATATTCTGCTGTTCCCACAAATGATCTTGTACTTTCTGAATCATCCTGTACTTGTTGTTGTTGTTGTTGATCGGATAGTATCTTTGCTGAACCAAAATCAGTTATTTTGATATGCATGTTATCATCTAATAGTATACTATATCATTTGATTTAATAAAAAGAGGCATTTGCCTTTATCTTTAATTTACTTTTCAGGTTTGATGTCCCTGAACTTGATATTAGTTCTTTCCCTTTATGTCTTTTACTATTTTCATTACCTGTGAATGACTCCTTGATGATGGATATGTTCAATAGCCAATAAAATCTCTGCGGCATAATGTTGGGCTATGTTCAAATCAAATGGTGCAAGCTATAAACAATCTTAGCTTTCACGGTTGGATTTTTTCTTTGACAAGTCTTACTCTTCTGATATAAGTATATAATTCACCATTTTTTGCCAAGTCTAATACGAAATCTAAAAAGGTATGAGTATATATACTTGCTTATTTATGCTGTATCATATTACATAAACTTTGGTTGTCTTTAAAGGTCCAATATAGCTTGACAATACCAGGATGGTTCATCTTGCTTAATGCGTCTCGTTCAATCATCACATATTTGACCTTATTGTTCTTGACAATATGTGCTTTATCCAACCTTTTGATTGCATACAGCTTTTCTGTCTTTTTATCCTTACCAACAAGTACCTACAAAGAATAAGAACAGGATAATAATTATGATACACATACATACTGTTGAATAAGAGCCTTCGCCTAATATATCTCCATACTCGAAATCAGTCACAATACGTCGATGATGGTGAAGAGGATGAGAAGGATCGTCTACTTGTGTATTCAAAACAGGCGCTTCTACTACCATATATCACGCAGTATATAAAACAGAAAGAAATAGAAAAAAAAAAAAAAAGAGGGAGATTGAATAGAGCTTTATTTCCTTTTTTATTATTACAAAATGTACTTTAGTGAAAGCGGGCCATTCAAGGTAGAAAGTGATACAAAATGATGTGCGCTATCACGACCATTGTATCCTTCGAGTTTACCAAATGAGCGTTTGGTGATATGAAGTTGATCAGGTTTGCTGCTTTTGACCGTACGTCTTCCATTCATATTATCGAGCTTGAACTGACTTTCAAAGTCAGTGGGCAACTGTACATCAATAGCACCGTTAATGGCATCCAACTTTAAGGTGTTAGCAGATGTTGTTATTTCATTCACGTTTGCATTGATTCGGCCATTAATTACGGTGACTACGAGGTCTCCGGATAATGAATGAATTGAACTTTTAACATTGGAATTGATACCGGCAATCTTGGTTGAACCAGAAGTGAAGCTCTGTTTTTTGTTGTTATTATATGATACATGCATAGATTGTTCTTTTTGTTACCTTTTGAAGATTAAAGTCGCCTGAGACCACATTTAGCTGAAGATGTTCAAAGACAAGGCCTTCTTTGTCAAATGTATAATCGTTGTTGATCAATCCAATGTCAAGGCCCTTTAAGGCAGATGCATGAGGAACCTTGATGACGATGTTAATAGTGGCACAGCTCTGATTTGATGTAGGCTCGTCATTCTATACACAATATAAGTTCATATTTCGTTTTTACGAATCATTTAAACTTACTCCAAGGTGAATGATAAACTTATCATTAAGAGTAGTCTGGTTGATAAAGAATGTATCTTGTAGTTCATCATCACTCAACTTGACGTCAATATCAACAGATATATCTGACGTATCCTTATCTTCCACAACCACAGTCGTACCTCTCTTTTTTTTTGGAATTTAGTAATATGTCAATGATTTTTAAAAAATATAACCTACTTTGATACTCAATAGTTTGGCATCTTCTCTTGTTTCGTACTTGATCTCAAGGTTTGAATACTGTTCAGGCTCAAAGTTGAAATTATGAATTCCTTTATAAGGGATAGAAGGCTCCGATTGACAGGTACTCAATAAGTCAACAGTATCAGCATGTAGTGCCGTCATCTAGTTTAAATGTGTGTCATTATACATATTCCCCTTCTTTTTGTTTGATTTACCTTGGATTCGCCATGGTGTCTCTTATCACAGTGGGAAAACATCAAAAACATGGCCAGAACGGCAAAGGCAGAGAAAAAAGACCATCGCTTGGCGCGTCCCAGTTTCTTTTGACAATCTTGTCGCCTACAGGGACCGTCTTGTTCGGTATAAGGAAGTAGAGGGGATTTTTCTAAAGTGGACATGTTGATTTTTAATTTTTTTTGGGAAATCTTTCCTCTCTCTTTATATACTCTTTGATTTGTGTTACACTTGTTCTTTGGCCAAGATGCCAAGTCCTCTCTCTCTTCATCGAAAAATCAATGGATAAGCTCAGTGCTTTCATTAGGCGAAATCAATACCCTTCGTTTTGCGCATCGGCAAATAATCAAAGCTCTATCCTTCTTTGTCTTTCTGCTGCAGTGTCTATAGGGAGAAACTTGGCATAAAGCCAAGATTGAACATACACTGCGCAAAATTTTATACTGCGGAATCATACGAAAGCGCACACATATTTTTCACAACATGCTTTATTATAATAAAAAAAATGGATTTGCAAAACACACATCAAAAAAATTTACAATTTGCGTCTTTTGACTATACGTTCAACCTCTTCATGAATCTCAGCAACTCGCCCAGCTAATGATAAATACATGCGTTTCTGTCCAGCCATGACGTCTGCTAAGAGTTCAGGCGAGAACTTTGTCTCCTTGTCTAATGAACTCACAGCTTCTTCAATCGACTGGACGGCTTGAGCATAGTATCGTGTTCTTGATTCCAAACTATTTACAGTACTAGTGAAAAAGTGCCAGTTTTCGGAGGCACCCAGTGTACGCCAGTTTCGACTCTCTTGTCTCAGCACACTGCCGGCTGCCATCACGTTTCTTCGTTGCTCGGCGTTCTTGTCAATCAGGTCATAGAGCGTACCAGACTGTATGTCTAACTGCTTCGTTAAGATATCCGCATCCACGTTCAGGTCTTCAGTCTTTTCTTGTACTTGCTTCAGGGTGGAAGCAAAGCCTGAGTTGATCTCGCTTTGGATTTTGTCGCGCTTTTCGGCTTGCTCGTTAATAAACTGCTGTAATTCAGCAAGCTCGTTTCTTGCATTATCAGGTAGCTCCCAAAAGCGAGTCGTATAGGTCACTTGACTAGGATCGTTTATCTCAGACTTTAATGTGGTGGGTACATAAGCTGTATCGCTATGGTTGGACATGTTAGTTTACACAAGTTTGTGGTATTCGTGTACCCTTACCGAGAGGTATCCTTGGCAATCGGCTGCAGTGATAGTGTCGTAGGCTCGCTCTTTTTACTGCTTCCGTCCGTCGTACTAAACGCAATCGCAACAGATCCTGGCTTTTCGGACTCTTTACCCTTGCTTGGAGTTGTGCTATCAAAAGAACTGAACGCTGTGCTACCGCTTGTAGTAGGCAGAGCAGGTGCTGTCATGATAGAAGCAGGTGTCCCAGGTTTACTCGTATCCTTGGAAGTCTCTGTAATGGCAGGAGCAGCGGTAGTAGTAGCAGTGGTGGCGGTGGTAGCTGTCGTGGCTGATTCATTTGTAGGTGGTGCACCAAAAGAAAATTGTCCTACAGGCTTATCTTTATCAGACGCGCTGGATTCAGTTGCCTTTTGTGTAGCTGTTCCAAAAGAAAACACGGGTGCTGCACTGCTGGTAGATGGTGCTGATGTGCTTTTAGAAGGAGCGCTTGTGGCTGTAGCAGTTGCGGGTGTGCCAAAGCTGAAAGCAGGAGTACTTGTAACAGTGATAGTGGTCGACGAGGCAGTTTTTGTTGCTCCAAAGCTAAAGGCAGAAGCGGTGCTTGTAGTGGGAGCGCTTATAGCAGCAACAGTAGTATCTGTAGCAGGAGCAGTTATGGGTGTACCAAAGCTGAAAGCAGGGGCGCTTTTAGAAGTAGCGCTTGTGGTAGCTGTAACGGGGGCAGTTGTAGATGTGCCAAAGCTGAAGGCGGGAGTGCTTGTAGTAGTAGCGGTAGTGGATGTAGCAGGCTTGCCAAAGCTAAAAGCGGGAGTGCTTTTAGAAGAAGCGCTTGTGGTAGATGCAGCAGGTGTACCAAAACTAAAAGTGGGTGCGGAGGCTGTTGGAGCACTTGTAGGAACAGATGTGCCAAAGCTGAAAGCGGGTGTACTTGTAGTAGTATCAGCGGTCGACGAGGCAGTTGTTGTTGTTGCTCCAGAGCTAAGAACGGGAGCAGGAGCACTTGTAGCAGGAACACTCGCGGTAATAGATGTAACAGTCGTAGTAGGAACACTTGCGGCTGTTGGAGTCGATGTTACTTTACCAAAGGAAAGCTTTGGACTGTATGCAGTCTTTGCTGATGAATCAAAGCTAAAAACAGGAGCGACGGTGCTAGTGGTAGTAGTGGTAGTATCGGGAGCACTGGTGCCAGTAGATGAGGCTGCAGAAACATTAGCAAAGGTAAATGAAGGTGCCTTGGGCGTAGTAGAAGGAGTAGTACTTCCAAAAGTGAAGGCAGGGGTCGCTGGTTTATTTTCTTCAGGTTTGGATTCTGCTTCCTCAGCCAATGGTTCATTTTCTTGTTTTCCATCGTCTTCTTTCGCGTTAGTATCTTCAGAGGGTTCATTATCTTTGTCTACTTCAGCCGATGGTGTCACTTTCTGTGTTGTGCTTCCAAACGTAAATGAGGGTGCTGTTGTTGTTGGTGCAGCAGAAGTAGTGACAGATCCAAAGCTGAAAGTAGACTTAGATGCCACTTTGTTAGTTGATGGTTTATCCTCTTGGTCTTCATTGCCCTTTTCCTCCTTGGTGTCATTAGAAGGTTCTTCGTCTTTGTCTGCCTCAGTTGATGATGGTGCTGTCTTTGCCACGCTTTCAAAAGAAAAGGCGGGTGTTGCTGTCGTAGTTGTTATGGTTGATGCAGGAATGGTAGAAGAAGATCCAAAGCTAAAAGCCGGAACGGATGTAGTAGTAGCGCTAGCTGATTTTTCCTGCGTCTTCTCATTCGCTTCTGTGCTGCTTGCGGCATCGGGAAGCAGTGAGGCTACTGGCTTATCCTCTGGTTTAGTTTCTGTCTCTTTTTCTTGATTTTCACTGATCTTCTTCATGTTAGTGTCATTAGCAGGTTCATTTTCATTAGTGTTATCAGTGGGTCCGTTTTTGTCTTTCTCCTCTGTTGTCTGCGCGGCATTTCCAAAACTAAAGGTAGGTGTTGCTGTGGTTACTACTGTTAATGCAGTATTGGTAGAGGACGAACCAAAGCTGAATGTAGGATTGGCATTGCTATTTGTGCCAAAGGTAAAGCCAGATGTTTCCGATTGCTTCGTTTCAGGCGCAAATTTGAATGCAGGCGCAGGAGGTTCGGGTATAGAGAATGTAGATTCGTCATGCTTCTCTGTTTCCTTTGTTGTTCCAAATGAGAAAGAAGGAATACTGCTACTGCCCGTACTAGAAGAGCTGCCAAAGACAAACGATTTTTTCTGTGCAGGTTGTTCTTCCTCCTGTTCCTCCTGAGTAACCTCTTCCATTTCGACAGAAAAGCGTCGTTTTCTATTTCCAAAGACATCGCTGGATGGCTCAACAGTTGAGCTCATCGTTGCCTGGTTACTGGCTCCACTTGTATTGGCTGTACCAAAAGAAAACGCGGGTGTATCTATAAGATAGTTGATCTACTGATTCTCCTCTTATTTAATATATAATTAACTTACTGCTTGTAGATACTGAGGATGTTCCAAAACCGCCAAAGATGGGTGGTTTAGCAGCCGTGACAGGCGCTGATGGCTGACCAAACTGGAATCCACTAAAAGGTTTTGTATGTGAACTGCTGTCACCTGTACTTACATTATTGAATGTAAAAGGCGTTGATGATGATGTCAATCGATCATTTTCATTCGCATTGGGTTTACCGAATGGCGAGAAAGGAACCGCTTGATTTTGTTGTTGGCCAAATGGTTGATTGCCAGTGGTGGCAGGAGTATTAGTGTTAGTAGCACCACTGCCAAAGACGGTATTCGTATCTATAGAAAGATGATTAATCACACTATTTCTTCATTGTTTTATTTGATCTTTACTTGGAACATTAAAGTTCATGGTATTATTATTAGTGTTGTTGCTGTTCGACAAGTTGCTTCCAAAGCCTGCTCCAAACATGGGCTGCTGTTGTTGTTGTTGCTGTTGTTGTTGTTGTTGTTGTTGTTGTTGTTGTTGTAAAGGTAATGGCGCTTGAAATGAAAATGTACCAGGTGCGCCACCTATACTACTTGTGCTTCCAACACTACCAACAGAAGTAGTTGAAGCTGTTCTTTGCAGTCTGCGTCTAGGGATTGCAATCTTGCGTTCTGGATGTGGATTATTAGGTAGATTACTATATAGCAAAACAGATATTCAACATAAACGCGCTTTTTGGTATTTAATGCATCAAACCTTACTTCATTTATTTCGTAAAATGTAATCACAAAGAACGAAGAGAAAAAAAAGAGGCAATTTTATTGTGTAGAAGAAAGAAAAAAAAAATTGAGTCCACACATTTAGTCACAAATTGAAGATTTTTTTGAATGACCGCCATGAGAGGACAGAAAGAGGTCAAGAAGAGCTTGAGGGGAGTGTAGAAATAATCTAAGCTATATGAACTCTTTGTTGTTAATACACTAATTGCTTACGTGCTTAGTTCTGTCTCTTTTTATTAAGGGAAGCTTTTGTTTAGACGCGACGGTCTTTAATAATTGTAAAGCTATTTCATATAGCTTTACAAAATACGCGTCTTTTTTATTTATTTCATTTCATAAGCTACTGCCTCTTGTAGAGACTATGAACTACACCAAGTATCTTTATACTCCTAATCACGATTTGGTTGTATAAAGCTAGAAAAAAAAAAATCCAGATTTTGTAAAAGAGGGCAGAAAGAGATAAAAGTGTTTGTTGACTTTGTGTATCCATTTCTTCATTGCCTCTATCAATTCAGATCTTTTTTTTTTTTACTAAAATGAAAGGTCCAGTTATACTACGTATAGTAAAAGAGAGAGCATTCTATCCCAAAGGAGAAATACACACGTCACCCCCTTGATTCCATTTTTCGTTCATTTTATAATACAAAATATACATATTTTGAGTCAACCCAGAAGCATATTTTTGGAGAGGGGTATAAGAACTGTCTGTCCCCCCTCTCTTTTCTTTAGGAGGGACCAACATCCGTTTGGAACCAGTGTTTGGAAATTACCTACACGTGATGTTTTCGTATTCCGAAAATGCTTTAAAGAACTTTTTACTGCTCTCTCTTTCTTTTTTTTTTTCTTTTTTTTATATAAAAAAGTAACTCACAATTAAACATGTCTTGGCAAGCTTATGTTGATACAAACCTTGTTGGCACTGGTAAAGTTGCCCAAGCCGCCATCTGCGGTTTAGAAGGTGGTGTTTGGGCCTCATCTTCTGGTTTCCAGGTAAGACGCGCGATTTGAGAAAAAGAGAGAGAAAGGGGAGATACTTATCTCGTTTATAGTTGCAACCTTCCGAAATTCGAGAAATCATGGAGGGTTTCAAGAACCCCGACTCTGTTCGTGCAAACGGTCTTCATATTGGTAACGCCAAATACTTTGTTATTCGAGCTGACGATAAAGCCATATACATTAAAAAGGTAAGGTATACAGTAACAAACACATGATACTAAACCATTTCTACTAGGGTAATGAAGGTGCTTGTATTGCCAAGACTGGCAAAGCCTTCTTGATTGGCACTTATAATGATCAAATGCAACCAGGTCAATGTAATGTAGTTGTTGAGGGTTTGGCGGATTATTTAATCTCAGTAGGCTATGTAAGTACACTTTTATATCTTTTTTTTTTTTTTTGCCTTACTGACTTGTTCATAGTAAACACTATGACCCACATATTTTTTGATGCCCCTTCTTTCTTTTTTCATGTTCCAATTTACCCGTCAATAAAAATACATATTTTGCGTTTTTAAAAATGTGGCGTAGGGTTAAACAGAGAGGTCTCGGGTTTGTTAATATTTTTGTTTACTCCATTCAGTCATTGTGCAATATACGGCTCTGGTTCGCACTCACTTATATCACAGACAAATAAAATAGGTTGACGTCAGTTCAGCTTTCTCAACGAAAAAAAATACAGGAGTATGACCCCCTATATGTTCTGCGTAAAGAAGTATCTCCATAAGCTAAAATAGTTTTCTACGATCATCGAATGGATTTACAAAGTAGTTACCGCTGCCAAAGTAACTTCTTCTGAAAGTACTTGTTGAGTCCATTGCAAGCTTATGGGGCTCCATTATTCTTTATATGGCCGAGAACAACACTGCCACAGTGAGCATCTGCTAACCTTTTACATCACGGTGCTTATAAGGCTTTATGAAATTGTGGATCTTATGTGATCGCAGTAAGCAATTGACATTCAAGGTATATATTTTTATTGTCTATGTATGATACCTTTGATTCTGTAGTGAAAGAAAGGCCATAAAAGCCTTTATTTCCTCCAAGGTGTAAATATTGCGGCTCTCTAAAAGATCATGAAGTCCTTGTATTCTAGCGGTTTCACGGTTATCCAGTTCAAATCTATGCTGCCATACTAGATCTATCTCTTTTTATATAGCAAATAATTATGCGATATATGGTGCAAATTACCTCTAACCTGTTCAAAAACTGAAAATCTTTAAAGTTAATAGCTGTAGCTAAGGTCAATATTTTGACATACCAATGGCTACATTTCATAGAAAATATGTTAATGAACAAAATGCATTGCTATGGTTTTTAATAATTTTGCTATATCCAGAGCTGTTATGATTTCCATTTAGCAGAGTGTAGCTTTCAGTTGAGACAGTCATTGGGTATAATCCAGTCCTAATTTATACTCCGACCACATAAATATCTACTTCTTCATTGTTAACAGTTAGTATGACATTTCCCCAGGAAAAAATGCTCATAGAACGCGTTTGTTGCGATCCGTGTTTATTATAGAGATGCAATTATTAAAGAGTTTTCCGACGAAAGGTGATGATCTTGACAGTTACACGAACCAAGTCAAGAATTCTTCAGCAAATAATAAAAATAAATGTCAACCAACATCCTATTGCTCTAACAAAGCATAAATAAGAAGATATTACTAAAGTCATTGGAGATACATTGAAATCTACGGCAGAAGAAACAAAAAATGACAAAGATGTTCATTGCCCAACTTTCAGCATCTTGGGCATCTCATTGGCACTCATTCTGTAAATCGTTTTGATACTGTTATCGTCATTATCTTTAAAGGATTACAGTAATAACTAAAAAAATAATCGAGTCAAATCCTCCAAAGCTGTATGGTTTCATGCTGACAAGACAAATCAATTTACTCATTATTTTTAACTTCAGTAACAAATAAGCACACAAGCGTGAACCCTAAAAGCAGTTGGAATGACTCACACCAATCAGAGAAGTGGATTCAAAATATGCATTGATGAGAGATAAGAAATGAGCTTATTTGATTGGACGATTTAGTTTATATAACAGATGAGTTAAAGAATACCCAAAATCTATTTAAACAATCCAAATTGATCAACGTTTTCTATTTTTCTTTCCCTTTTTTTATAAAAAAAAATACAAATGGCTTCTCGTGCTTTTACTACTGCTCTTCGTTCCGTTGCCCGTGCTTCTTCTCGTTCTTTGGTTAGACCCATGACAATGATGACAGCCCGTTTAGCTGTCAAACCTATCGTAAGCTTATATATTAAAAGAGAAAGTAAGGGAGACTAACATCTATTAAAGATGACTACTCAAGTTCGTGGTATGAAGACGTTGGACTTTGGTGGAACAAAAGAAACTGTCTATGAACGATCCGATGTCCCCAAGGAAAAGCTGCTCGAAACATTCAAGAACGACACGATCGCCGTTCTCGGTTATGGTCCTCAAGGTCGTGGTCAAGCCTTAAACTTGCGTGACAATGGTGTCAATGTGATCATTGGTCAACGTGAAGGCAAGACTTACCAACAAGCTATTGATGAAGGTTGGGTTCCCGGTAAGAACTTGTTCCCTGTCCTTGATGCTGTCGAAAAGGGTACCGTTGTCATGAACCTCTTGTCTGATGCTTACCAAACTGAAATCTGGCCTCAAATGAAGCCCTTGTTGACTCCTGGTAAGACTCTTTACTTCTCTCATGGTTTCTCTATCGTCTATAAGGATCAAACAAAGATTGTTCCTCCTAAAGGTAAAAGGAAAAAAAAAAAAAAAAAAAAAAAAAGAGAAAAAAATAGAGACTAAAGTTCATCCTAGATATTGATGTTATCCTTGTTGCTCCCAAGGGTTCTGGATTCACCGTCCGTCGTCTGTTCCAAGAAGGTCGTGGTATTAACTCATCCTTCGCTGTCTACCAAGATGCCAGTGGTAAGGCCAAAGAAAGAACTGTTGCCTTGGGTATCGGTATCGGTTCCGGTTATATGTACGAAACCACATTCGAAAAGGAAGTCTACTCTGACTTGTTTGGTGAACGTGGTGTCTTGATGGGTGCCATCCAAGGTTTATTCCAAGCTCAATATGAAGTCTTGAGAGCCAATGGCCACTCTCCCTCTGAAGCATTCAACGAAACTGTCGAAGAAGCCACTCAATCTCTCTACCCTTTGATCGGTGAACGTGGTATGGATTGGATGTACTCCAACTGCTCTACAACTGCCATGCGTGGTGCTCTTGACTGGTGGAGACCCTTCCACGATGCCTCCAAGCCTGTGTTTGAACAACTCTATGAATCCGTTCGTAATGGCTCAGAAACTGCTCGTTCCCTCGAAAAGAACTCTCAACCTGATTATCGTGAAAAGTTAGAAGAAGAACTCCGTGAGATTCGTGAATCTGAAATCTGGAGAACTGGCAAGACCGTTCGTCAGCTTCGTCCTGAAAATGTCAGCAAGGATTAAATTTGTAAAGTTGTATTTTGAAATATAGATTATTTCTGGATTCCCCCTCTTCAATTTGTAAAATAAAAAAGCGAATTTCTCAGTTATAAAATGACCGAACTGTGTGTCTTTTTTTTCTTTTTTTTTTTTTTTTGTCATATGAACATTAGAGACGAGAGAGGGTCATCCTTTGAGAGGATCATTAAACGTACCCGACGTTCCATTTGGTTTAAATTTAGACGTACATCAAGACTACACCTTGTTGCTTTATTCACACTATTGACCTTACTCTATTTCTTTCTTAATCGTTCTACTTCTTTAAAGAAAAAATCTAAAATAACAACACTCGGCAATCAACCAACATATGAGCAACACAACACATCTTGTTTCGCCACTCTGTGCAATCCTTCCAACAAGTGCTCTACTTGGTTACCTAACCGACCCTACGACTGGTCTGAACTTTCTCAAGCAGGCATCTTTCGCGATCTGGCAACGATCCAAGTTGAGTTTGGCTGTGAGTTAAAGATCAAATTGGAAAGTGAGAGAAGTGAGTGGATGACATTGCCTACTGGGAAAAAAGTTAATTGTGAAGGATATGATACGAAATGCGGAAACCTTGTTGCGATCGATTTGAAAGGTTAGAATAAAGTTAAAAGGTAATCCTTGTGTTTATTGACAGCTCTTCCTAAACACACATATACACCAGCCAATATCCTGATTCTTGCCATCCAGCTCAAGCAAAAAATGCAAGGTAAAATATATATACATATAAAGAGAAAGAGAAAAAAAGTCTAACAAATATCAGATCCGTCTACTGAAGGACAGGAGATTGTCATGGTGCATCATGGGCAAGAAAGTTCCAATAGAAATGTTGATGTAAGCCTTATTAGTCAATTCTCAGTCAATCGATTAGAGCCATTTGTTGAAGTGATCGAATCCTGGCAAGGTCCTATCTCTGTAGCAATGTAAGCTTTGATGTACACATTATGAAAAAAGATATATTGATACTTCCTCTAGATATCTTACCCAATCGACAGATATTGATACACTTGTTCAATTTTTAAAGACATCCAAAAACCTAGACTTGTATTCTCGACTAACCATAACGTTGATTAAACCAAACTACCTTGATCCCGAACATCTGGCGTACCCGATCAACAATTTACGCAACATAGCAATCACACAATCTACCACAGAATACATCTTTGTCACAGACGCTGATTTTGTACCCTCGAATAATTTATATACCTTTATACGATCAAGACTGATACCCTACGTGATCTATCAATCCGGCAAAATTCCTCCAACGGCCTGGGTCGTGCCTTGCTTTGCCATCCGTGAGGCCTATGCTCAGTTACCGATCCCAAACACATACAACGAACTACGTCGGTTGGTGGGCCAAAACGTGGCCTACATTACAGATCCAGGTGCGGGTCATGGCCCAACATTGGCAGTCGAAATTGCCATGGTACGACCCTTGTTGATGGGAAACCCACTCGCATACGAAGTTTGCTACGAATCGCAATGGGAACCCTACTACGTCCTGCATCGATCAGCCCCTCTTTATGATGTGCGGTTCAGAAACCAAGGCGGCGATAAACAGTCGCATGCATTACATCTCAATGCAGAAAAGTACAGGTTTATGGTCCTCAGAGAAGTCTTTATGGTTCATAGAGATCATTCGAAGATGATTTGGCCTTCAGGCGGCTTTGAAAAGAGTCAAAAGGAGGCCAAGACGTGGAATTACTTTAATGAATTCATGAATGAAATTCAATCAATTTATGGGCGAAACTCACGATGGCCTCGTGGATGTAGTGCGATGGCCATTGGATGGCAGGACCAAAGACGGGATGTTGTTGGTTTGGCAGCAGGCGCAGTTTAATATTTAATGTCATATAAAACCATGATCATTCTTGTTTATTGAATAGAAAAAAAAAAAAAAAATAGAAAACATCAAAAACTTTATTTGAAGAAACCAGCTTCATTTCTCTAAATTTTAATAACCTTGGCCTTTTTATCATTTTGACCCAAATCACCAAGATTCCACTATAGAATAAAAGTCAGTTACTGAAAAAAGATATCATGACAACTTACGTTATCTTCAATCGTTCTAAGCAAAGAATAATGATTGTATTTGGTATGATCTGTCTTTTTGTTACTGGACGGATGGAAATCGGGACCAAACAAGATGGTCAAGACCTTGTTATCATCAGAACCACCATCATCTTCATCAAATGTTACCACAAACATGGTGTTTTCACTAAATGCCTTTTCATTAATACGGCTCGTCAAGAACTTCTTTAACCATTTTGAGGCGTATCCCATATTTGTATCGTGTGCATCGTTATTTAACTAGGATTAAAAAGTAAGATTTAAAAATATAAAGAAATGCATATACAAACACCTACATTGGGAGTATAGAATACAAATTGGGGCACACTGTTGCTTTTGATATCCTTGTCTAACTGCTTTGAATTGACAATCTTTGCACATCTTGACTTGTTATTTTGAATGTTCTTGAAGGAAATAAAGGGATTATGTTTACGGGCATATGGTCCAATATCCATTTCCTTATTGCATCCACCTTTTTTATATTGTCAGCTTCAATTTCTAGAATTGCTTTTTATATATCTTTACCAGGATAGTTTTCTTGATATGTTTTCCAAGAGATGCCCTTGGCCTCTAACAGATCAACGATTGTTTTCCTATTGATGTTAGACTCGTCGTCCTCATTAGTTCCTTTTGTAGATCCGCTGATTAAGGCAATCTATAGAGATAAAATCAATAAACAAATATCTCTTCTTGTAAAAAAATTTACATAATTGGGCTGTGATGGATGAGTAGTTGCCAAATAGTTGGTAAGAGCAAACCCCTTATATTTTGAGGTTAAAGTAGACAAGTACTTGTCCTTTGCTGCCACCTTATAATCTTGATTTTCAAAAATGATAATCACCACACGGTCAAAATATTTGCCCTTGGTAGAAGCAGGCCGAGCAAAGACGAGAGCCAATTGAAGTAGTAGAATAGCGAGGGCGAATTTCATGTTGATCTTGATTTGAAAGCAGATCAAAATTGTCCTTTCTTTTATATATCTATTGTTTTCCTTGTACAAATGAGCTTAATTAAACACAAGGTAACTTTTACATGACCTAAAGAAGAGGGTCCCACTTATTAGCGCTTAATTAGGACCTATTCCCCTTTCCTATAAGTGCACTATCGATTTTGAAGCACCTTTTTTTTCTATAATGAAATAGCTTGCATTAATTATTTTTACCAAATTTAGTAAACGTAATCAATTTGTGCCTCCCCACTGAAAGTATATATTCCTCTGTTTGTTTACAATTATATTCTCTTGTTGCTGTTATTCCTTGAAGAACTTTTTGTAGTAAATACAAGCTTATCATTGAATGCAAGTATTCATAGAGAGAAGTTTCTGACTTTATGTAATTGTAATCATAGTTACACCTTAATTGTAATTGAATCCCCGATTTTGTGTTTGCTTGTACAGTCAATGCTAAAGTTGACGAAAGGAAGACAAAGGATGTGGTACTCCCAGTCTCATGGCTGGTCTGACTTTTTGGCTATATTTAAATATTCTTCAATTTAACTTTTGTAAAGAAAAAAATACCTTGCACGTCTTAAAGAGCTTATATAATGGCCTGAGTATTTATTCATAATACGAAGTAGTGCTAAAGTTGACCAAAGAAAGACAAAAAATGTAATATAAGATTTGTACCTTATATTCCTGATCTGACAATCATTGGATAGTGTATATATCATTCAATTAAACATGGAACGACATTATATCTATATGGTATCAATGACACCTATTCTTTTTTGTATAGTATTTTGTTAGCCAGCATGTTGTCATTGAGCTTAACTACTCTCTGGACATCACTTATAGCTGCAAATATCCAATTTGCTTTATACTGACATGTCCTTAGAATGCTTATTTTTTTTTAAAAAAAAAAACACTTATAATAACCAATATACATTAACTTTAAAGACGTGATATTCAATAATTTATTTACAAACATGTTTCAATTGTCATTTCATCAATTTGTTCCGGCAGCAGAAGACCATAATTACTTTGGTCAATTGCAGATAGTATCAATTCTGCACCTAATCTTATATTTGCTATTTGATCATCTTTTAAACGGTATGGATTTTCTCTATAAGAGCGATAACCAGCAAGAAGATTGGTCACCTTAGCTGTTTGATTATCTCGAGACGTAGAAGAATGTTCTGTAACAACTCTGTTTTCAGCAGCAGTGTTAATAGCATCAACTTGAACAATCGAGTCTACTTGCTTAAATGATACGATGTTTTCTTATAAATGAAAGTAGGTTTTACTATAAGTTATTTACAAATACGTAAATCTTGCAATTTGCCTTTAAAAGGAGTTATTCCAGCATGTAAACGATTGAGCAGATACATATGCTTACAGGCGATGTTATTGTAAATGAAAAATGTCGAATTAAATTGTACAAAATACGCTACCATCTCACAGTATATGTAACAACCTTGCTTGCTGAAGGACTTTATATTGTGTACGAAATAGTTTCTGTCTCAATCCTATCCAACATTAACGAAATGAAGGCATTCATTGCAAACTTGGAGGACTTGTTGCCCGTTAAAACTATTCGTAAAAAATGCGTTGAAGTCAATGACAACGTGGAGCAATTTAAAAAGAAAGGAGAAGTTTACAAACAATCTGTCAGTTTGTAAAAAGAGGAAAAGACAAATAAAGGTATTGTTCCTATGTGTTCATATCATTGACTATTGTTACGCTGGGTATTGTTCTTTTCACCGCTTGCTGTTATACATATTCATTTCAAGTATAAATAATTACTTTCTGTTATTTAAATAAAGGAAGACTTTCTTTACCACAAGAGTCTCAATAGTAACTCACAAAAACACTAAAAGTACCGAGCCATTTCTATTTGCCTTCTCGCATGTTTTGCATCAGTACCAACGCTGATACCTTCAACAAACTTTCATGATCCTTCATTCCCTGCAAGAGATTACTTGATGCATACGATGTGCTCATTCGATGGTAAAATTCATTTTAAGCTTCATTCGATATTCTAATTTGGTCTTTCCTGTATGCTGTTTTTTATGAAGGGTATTCTATCCAACACAGCTAAATTTGTAACAATTGTGACTTACAGTCACTCCTGCACATTTAGATTTTCCGATTATGAACACATAGGGCACCACTAAGAGTAACAGGATTTTTTTTAACTGTAGTATTCAATGTCATTCTTAGACATCCGTGCAAGAACTGCATTTAGACCATTAGGAACAAATTTATCGTTTAATTTTGGCCATTCTTCAAAAAGACTATGCCCAGTTAAACCTACTATTCGTAACTACGCCACACCACCTATAAAATACCGTTTTCCTTCGTCAGCTGGAGATGGATATCAGCGATTTAAAAGCAGTGCAAACCAATCTTTTTACATGTCTAAACGGTTATGGATATTCACTGCTACAGGTGTTGTTATTTACGGCGGATACTATGTGACTCATTTAGAAAAAGTGCCAATTAGTGGCAGAGTGAGATTCATGAGCATAACTCCAAAACAGGAAGAAGGTATCCACGCGTGCGTGATGAGCCCTTTGATATGATATGTAACATAAGATATTAATCGATAAAATAGCGATGGCTGTTATGGCATACAATGATGTGATGCGGCAGTTTCATAATCGTATCTTGCCTCCAAATCATCCATATACTTTATTTGTTAAACGCGTTGCTAAAAGACTAGTTCAAGTATCAGGCATGGAGGACTTGAAGTGGGAATTTTACGTTATAGACTCTCCTGAAAGAAAGTAAAGTGAAATAGGAAACAGGTAACGGTTACTAAGCTTTTCTGTTTAGTGCCTTTGTGCTTCCAGGTGGCAAAGTGTTTGTGTTTACAGGCATTTTACCAATTGTCAAAAATGAAGGTAAATATTCGAAATGGAATTGTGTATCAAATGATGAACATATTTTGCGGCTGTAGATGGAATGGCAGCTGTTCTAGGTCATGAAATAGCGCATCAGCTTGCTCGTCATAGCGCTGAAAAAGTCAGCGTCACCAAGATTATTTTCGTGATGATGCTTACTCTACAGTTATTTGGAATAGACACATCGTTCTTATTTAACCAATTCACTCTGAACTACTTAATGATGAGCCCGTTCTCTCGTAAATGCGAGACAGAAGCCGATGTGATAGGATTACAGCTTATGGCACAGGCATGCTTTGAGCCTAGAGAATCACTAGAAGTGTGGAGACGAATGTCAGCAATTGACAAGAATGAGCCTCCTCAATTTTTGAGTACCCATCCCAGCCATAAAAATCGTGTTGAACGTCTTGCACAAGAGGTACAGTGATACAGGAGCTGAAAAGTATGTACAACCTAACGGTGGATTTATTGTAGATGCCTAATGCGTTACAAAAGCGCGAAGATGGTGATTGCTCAAGCGAGATGCGGGTATTTGCTGATATGTTTAGAGATGCGCGTGTACGCTGGTAATTCGATACATTCAAGTCGTAAATAAACAATGTATTTTACAGATACTGTACTTGTGGGTCTTATCTTTGCGTACATAGTTTATGTAGACATAAAAAAATACTTGATTTATACTATGTCAACCTATTTTTCATATTTTTTTTTTTTACGTTCAAAATGAAACAAAGCAAGAAAAGAGAAAATGTACATTGCTTGTCATTAAAATCCTTTTTAACTATATGCAATATTCCCAGAAAGCAAAGTTGCAAGGAACACGTCCTGATGCATTTGAATAATTATCACCAAGCGCTACACGATTGATACCATGTCTTTGCAAAAGGACACAACACAGATAAGAATGGCTAAGGCTAGGCAGAATGCATTATGGCTTTATATATTTAGTATGTATATTGTTAACTCAGAAAGAAAGGTTCGTTTGCCGTCTTTTGGATACACGTTTTTATTGTCCCTTGCTTTCTGAGCTTATGCATTATTTTTTCCAAGACAAATTTATACAAAAAGCACATTAGACACCTTTCTCTTTCTTGATTTTTTTATTTATTCAAAAATAAAAAAAGGCAGCGGATAAAGACAAGCAAAAAGGTTGCATGTGCTCTTAGAGTTTATGCATTTCAGCAGCGCCTAGGCTCACTTGTTTAGTTTATAGATTGTTTTTCTTTGTTTTTATATAAAAAAAGAAAGAAAAATATAATAAAATATGAAATATTGTAATAAAATGTTATTACTTCATTTTTATGAAATGTTTAACTAAGAGATTTTAAAGAATGTAGTGAAAAATTTAAAAAAAAAAATATAAAAAAAAGCAAATATTTCAAAGAGCCCTTTTTTGTTTCTCTTTATTATATGTTCATCATGTGAGTATTATCAATCTGTATATCATTGTTGTTTTTATAGCCGCAATTAATGCTATTCTGACGCTTGTTCAATTTTTTACTCTTATGAACACTTTTATCCTTAGTGAACATAAAGCAATTGGTGCGAAAAAGTACCGCAGACCAAGGAGTTGTATGTTATTCAGAAAGGAAAAACGCAAATACATAAGTGATTTAAAAGACCAAAAAAGCAAAAACACTATGCACCAAATGATCTTTTTATCATAAGATAAAAAACTAAAATATTCTCTAACGAGGAACAAGATTGACAAAAAATAAAAACTTACAAAAAATGTAAAGCACCTAGAATACAGATAAAGACAACATATAAGTTTTTGAAACTGTTCAATTTTACATGTTTAACACGTGAGACAAGCTAACTTGTAAGAGAATATATACACTTTTTTCAGAAATTATTCGCGCACAATTTAAAACCATTAGAAGCTACACTTTAGTCGACTATCAATCCTTTCTTTATTATTAAAAAAGCAGTGAAGCTTGTCTTTTTGAGAAAAGAAAAGATAAATGTGGTCAACACTTATAAATAATACGTAGTTGATAAATTAACAGAGACTTTGTTTAGATAGCCTGATCTTGACTTCTTTTTCTTTTCTTTTCTTCTTTAGATGAAAAAGCAAGACCAGCTATTCCTTAGCTGGCCCTAAGGTATATTATATTCTTTACTCTTGCAAGAAACTGATATGTAGTATTATAGATCACAATCGAAACTAACCCGATGTTGGCTGGGGATAGCTTGGTTCTTACCAAATTTTGGTCCCATACATTCCTTCAGCCCCTTTCGCTCCTTTGGCCACACACTCTCTCTATGCTCTCCTCTATGCTCTCTGTGCTTGCTCTTTTCAGGCTGGTTATCGCCAACCCAACCCAGAATACACTTTTGGTAAGATATTAATAATCTGTTTTACAAGCTTACTTATTTTTCTTGTTTCTCTTTTTCTCTTATAGGCTCTCTTGTTTATAATGTAAGTATTTAATATTAAATTAATAACTGATTTACTAAATGGCTCTTTTATATCTCATTCTTTTGCTTCTTGTGAGCTTTCTTTTCTTCGTTTTCTGAAATTATCATTTTTTTCATATCAGTATGCGAATAATTTGTGAATAAAGCGTAATAACAAATATCCAGAATATGTAGACCATCCTGAGTAGTCTAACTTGACTGCACAGTCCAAAGCATGACCTGTACGCAGTATTGAGAGTTTTCAATAAATTCCTTTGTAAATGGCTTTCATATATTCATTGCGGGATGCTACGTATGTAAAAGCTATTAATAAACTAGTTGTTTATATATAAGAATTTGTTACTGATTTGAAAATGTAGTTTATTTCAGTAAATGATTTAACAAATAGAGTATAAATTGGCGATATATGTAATATGTCATGTAGTAAATTTTAAATAGCTTGTAAGCAGGAACATGTGTAAAAGTAGCTGTGCACTTATGCGTATCATTGTTCTTCATTCTGACAAATAGCCTTGACAAAAGGAAAAACTAGTCTTTATTGGTAATACTTGTAAAATGGAATACCATTGTGTTCTTCCATGCGAATAATTTGTCTGCTTTATGGACAAACACTTGTATTTATTTGGTAATTGTAAGACATTTTACAACTCAGCATGTCCTTTTAATGTATACATCCTTGTTAGAGCTGAAGACTCAAAATATATAGCCATCAAATGTGTATGTTAGATATCGCATATGGATGATGTACCTTAAAAGAATATATCAAAATACTGAACATAATATCTGGATACGTTCGATTGATCAACATCAACAGTAAATTTCGTATATCTCAAGATGCCCTTCATTCCTTTGATTAGTTTATTTTCATCAGCTGATTTCTTGGTTAAGGTACAGTTATTCTGAATTTCTCCATAAAATTCAACTAATAAAGGTGCTAGTTTTTGGTTAAAATAACGAATTTTATTTAATTAAACGCCCTATTGAGCACAATAAAAGACTACCCGGAAGAGATCAAAAGGTCAGTAATGGAGACTAAAAAACTTCTTCTGGGATCAAGGGTAGAGAACGTACTGGCGAAAAGGTACATGGTACAATCAGTTGCGATGGAAACGCTTTGGTGTCAAAAAAGCTTTTCTCAGTAAAGAAGCGTGCAATAACACATTGAACAGAAGCACTAGTACAACGAATAGCGCGAATCAGACGATCTGCGAAAGTGCCAAAGGCCATAGTCGACCTTGTCTTGGTGACTCCACTTGGGACACACTGGATCACGCAAATTTGCGGGATCCAGGGGATCGTACCCACTGCGAACAGTAGTTGCAAACTTATTTAGTTGTGAACGAAGCTCAGTCCCATAGTCATTGTGAATAAGTAGAGCAACGAGGTGGTGACCCGAATAGTGTATATCGAGAATACGGCTGCTATTGGTATGCAGGCGTCATAGTCGGCTACGTAATTGACTGAGGGGATACGGCGCTGGACAGGAACATAAAGGTATTTAAAATCTTGATGTGCAGAAGGAGAACTGTATGTACGAGCAGCAGCAGCTTGGCTTGGAAGACGTTTCGTAGCAGTTGGCCTTGCAACCTTAGTTGGCGGAGGGAGCTCAGAATCCGGAGGGGAAGGTCGCTTTTGGAAGGGTTGACGTTGCCATGATGATTCAGGAGGACGGGTGACAGCGTAAAGATTGGCGGCGGGCAGTTCAATGGCAGGAGAAACCTGAGCTAGACGCTCGGAGAGAGGTATTTTCTTGCTGGAGTCGAGCTATTTCAGCCTTGGCAGCAGAAAGTTCTGCTTGTAGTTACTTCAACGCTGTCGTAGTATGGATGCACCTTCCAATTAAGGTAAAAAGTACCGAAAGCGATAACCACGCTCATTTTCTTATTCGCAACGTGCTTTTTCGTTGCACTTATTCATTACCATGGAAACGCAAAACGAATACCGCTGACGTGTTTGATGAGATAATCATTATAATAATTCGAGTATAATCTTACAGTAGAGCATACATTCTACTTTACATTCTTCTATCGCATCTGATAAGAATAACGTATAATAATAATAACTATTGTAGCTACTAGTATAACAATAACAATATAAGCATAAATAATATCAGTGACGACAATAATATAAATAGCGATCATAAACTCTCTACCCATATAAAACGCGCACGTGCTTTATTTAAATAGTGTGCAACTCTTTTTCATAAAGAATGTATTTCGCAAGTTGTCGACTTAATTGCATTATTTCGAATAATACCAAGCTGGATACAACATCCTCGCACCCATTGGTGGAATGGCGTTTTGAAAAATACTTTTTTTTTTTTCCAACTCACAGTCAAATAAATAAATTGAAAAATTATAATCGTACAGTTAACGAATATATGCTCGACCTTACGTGGATTATCACTTTGCAAGAGGTACCGTAAAAGGTCAAAATTTATTGTTCTTCTTTGTTGGAGAAAAAAATTGTAGGTGAACTTTAATTTTGCGTATTGTTATAGTTAACTATCTATAGCCTAACAGGACTGAGATGAAAGCTGGCGTTTCAACGCCTTCGAAAAAAAAGCGTGTTAATATCAGCTATGGTCTTCAAGCTTTCGGAAATAGTAACACATTTACTAATACTACTATTAACGACAATGTAATATTACTGGCATTTTATGATAAACTTAATTGAAAACTTACTTGAAATCTTATTCACTTTTAAGGATGACAGACAAAAAGAGGAAGAAAAGAAAGATGAAGAGGCTAATGAAGAAGAAAATAAGGGGAAAGAGAAGAAATAAGAGGCAAATGAAGAGACAGCCAGCGTTTGGAGCGTTTGGGTTCGATTTATAGAAAATAACGAAAACTTCCACCCTTATAGGTAAATATGCTGTTTTTCTTTCACAAAAAATATACTGAAAGGATATTGCTATCATTGTCTTTTATAGTCCTGAGGACCACAGTGTCATTAGATGTGGTAATGGTGTTTCTTATCGCCCAAATTTGGATGAAAACACATACCAACAACGTTTAAAGGCACATGTGGAAAAGACCTTTTCTTTGTCCAACGTATGCATACCATATATCAATAAAGCTTTCAACAGCGTAAGTCATCATATGAGTGCATATCCATAATTTACCAGACCACGTCTAATTTAGCAATGAATGATATAGGAAAATAATTCCGACTACAAGAAGGCCGTAAGAAATATCCTTCCTTGCGAAAGTGATGACAAGCCTATGTTCAATATCTTGGAAAGTCTATTTCGAGCAACGAAAGTAATTTTTCGTTAATTATGGAGCAGCTTAACTTTATAAACAAAAGTTTGTGCCCGAATTGAGGGTACCTTTTTATTATATGGAGAGATTTTTAGTAAATTTGACTAACCACCCACTCAGATATTATCCTCCAAAAATAACAAAAGTAACGTTTTGCTCTGATATAATTGTTTTTCATAATCAACTATATAGATTTAATAGAGTAAAAGGCAAAAAAGGGAGATATATTTTCAAATAGGCATATATTTTTTGTTTATAATTGTGCTGGACCATATATGATAGTTTATGTAATGATATAATTATATGTATATCTGTATATAGATATAGCTTTCTCTCTACACATTTAAAGATCAAGGATGAATAATCTACCTTCAGTTCTCTGTTTGTGTATCTTTTCCTAAAAGTTGTCAGTAAATCCTTGGCGGAGACGATCAACTGATGCAAAGCTGGGCTTAGGCCCGGCGAGACACCTGTGATATTATTGTAGAATTTAAGGGAATAGTGAAATACAATCGAATTCTACACAAGTATTTCATTGATGAAGATTAACAAATAGATAATAGCTCGCCTTATATACTTTTCGTTTTACCACAGAATGTGTCGTTATAAAAGATATGTAGCTTATATCATAATTCGCTCTCTTGATGCTTTGACAACATATTCTGTCAGGATTGTAATGTGAGCTTATTAAGTGTTGTATACTTAATTGAACCTCCGGGTGGCATATATACCATTCTCACCATATATTCACTAAAGTACTAAATATCAATACGACAACAAGAGTAAAAAATGGAAGGGAAATTAATGAGTAGAGTTATCGACGGGAAGCTAAAGGAATTGCTTTAACCATACAAGAAACTTTTGACCATAGGGACGCTTTATAAGGATCAGTTTGTTATGATGCAATTGGTCTAATTCATATAGTATGGAGCATATAATCGACCATCGCTGAGACCAGGTGAGGGCTAGATTTGGAGGAACTGAAGGACGTAAAGGAAGGATATTCAGAAGGAATGACAATGGATCTCGTATAGTTTCAGGCATAAACAGACGTCGGCGCACATCAAGGCAACTAATAGCGTGATTCTTAGATAACTGCTGCATTGGGTGCTTGGGACATGGTTGAGGTTTGCCACCAGGAAGCCAGCCTAGTCTCTAGCGTATACAGCGACTGCGCTCTGACTTAAACATGGGCAATCAGAGTATAGTACCCAGAGAGATCGATCGACGGCAGTTAGAAAGCAGTTTGAAGTTTCGGCATCGTTGGCGGATCTCCATATTCTGTTGCAAAAAGCGTCGTTTAGCAGCCTTGAGTGAGCGAGTGTCAGGTTTCTCAGTAGTAGACAGCACCGTTTTCTAAAGCGATGTACGAGAGAGAGCGTCTCGTTGGCTTCCTTTGGTATTGCGAATATAAGGCAACGGACAAGCAAGTAGTGCATCTTCTGACAAATATAAGGAGCGGAAGAGGAACTGTACCTGCAGTATACTGATTCGTTCAGACATGAGGGGCAACTTGGACATGTGGAGCATAACCGACATCATTTTTTTAAAAACTGCGACAGCTTAAATTTTTTAAGTGCCACATCGTTTTGGCAAAAGGTGTATTACTTTGACCGTCCAACTATGAGTAGTTTGACTCATATTATCACATAATAGCTGAATCATTTTTATAATACAAAATATACAAATATTTTGATTGAATTAAATCTGAATATAAAAGGAAAGAGTCATCTCAGTCACGACTTTCAAAAACTTTTTTTTTTGTACCTTTTTAATATTACAGCCATGTCAGATACGCAGCAACAGAAGAAGTTAGAATTAACTCAATCTATTGAATCTCAAGGACAAAAAGTACGTCAACTAAAGGCAGAAAAGGCAGAAAAATCAGTTATTGATGCTGAAGTGGCTGCCTTGCTTGACCTCAAGAAACAATTAGCTGTTTTGGAAGGAACTGACGGCAAGTCCGGTAAGGCTACCAAAACCAGTTTTACACTCAAGACACCCAAGGTAAGTTGCCCACGTTAAATAAATCATTGTTCCTCATTTTTTTAATAGGGTACCAAAGACTATAATGATAAAGATATGGCTATTCGTGAAAAGGTGTTTAGTACCATTACCCAAGTATTCAAGAAACACGGTGCTGTTACGATTGATACTCCTGTATTTGAACTCAAGGAAATTCTTTCTGGCAAGTATGGTGAAGACAGTAAATTGATTTACGACTTGGCAGATCAAGGAGGAGAAGAATGCTCCCTTCGTTATGACTTGACTGTTCCTTTTGCTCGTTTCTTGGCTATGAACGGTAAAGAATATCAAAACTTTAAGCGATACCATATCGCCAAGGTGTACCGTCGTGACCAGCCCGCAATGACAAAAGGTCGCATGAGAGAATTTTATCAATGCGTAAGTTATTTTTAATTGTTAGAATACAAAAAAGCTTACCCTAAAGCTTCTAGGATTTTGATATCGCTGGTGTTTATGATCCTATGATTCCCGATGCTGAAATCTTGAGAATCCTATGTGAAGCATTGACCAATCTGGATATTGGAAAATTCACTGTCAAGATCAACCACAGAAAGATTTTGGACGGTATCTTTGAAGTATGCGGTGTTCCAGAGCAAAGCATTCGCCCTATTTCTTCTGCTGTTGACAAGTTAGATAAGCTTCCTTGGGCTGATGTCAAGAAGGAAATGGTTGAAGAGAAAGGATTGGCCCCTGTATGTGCAGATAGAATCGGCGAGTATGTCAAGTTGAAAGGGAGTCGTGAATTGTTGGATACGTTAAAGAAGGATGAAACATTGATGAAGAATGCAAATGCTGCAGCTGGTGTGAAAGATATGGAACTCTTATTTGACTATTTGGATGTTTTTGAAGTCACTGAAAAGATGTCATTTGATCTTAGTTTGGCAAGAGGATTAGATTATTATACTGGTATCATTTACGAAGCTGTTACTGAAAAGTCTGCTCCTCCTAGTAACGTATCACGACGACAGCTGAAAATCTTACAGTAGAGACTAATACATTTATGTAGAACTCGCCGAAGGTATTACATCTAAAAAGAAGACAAACTCTGATGAATTAGATGAATCTACTGTGGGTGTTGGATCTATTGCAGCTGGTGGACGATACGATAATTTGGTCGGTATGTTCTCCGGTGTCAACAAGAAGGGTGTTCCTAACCTTCAAATCCCATGTGTTGGCGTATCTCTTGGTGTCGAACGTATCTTTTCTATTTTGATGTCCAAGCAAAAGTCAGAAGAAATTAAGAGTAATGAAACACAAGTCTTTGTGATTGCTGTTGGTGATGGATTATTAAAGGAAAGAATGCAAGTCGCTAAAGAGTTATGGGACGCTGGTATCAAAGCATCTTATATGTTTAAGAACAAACCCAAATTAGATAAGCAATTTGCAGCATGTGATAAGGACATGATTCCATTTGCAGTGATCATTGGTAAAGACGAGTTAGATAAGGGACAGGTGCGTATCAAGGATATGAGATCAAAGGATGAAACTCAGGGAGGAGGTGTTACCATTCAACGTGCTGATATGATTCAAGAACTAAAATCTAGACTTTCTATTTCATAAAAATAAAAATACTATCAGGACACACAGTCATTTCCCGTTGCTTTATTCCTTATTTGGATTTAAAGCCACCTTTACAGAAAAAAAAAAAATTGCGATCCTTTCCTAGTCGAAAGACACAATAATGACTCAACATGACTTTGTTAGTATCGGATAACCTTATCATATACACTCTGGTTGTTCTCTTTATCATATTAACAATTTGACATGTCATCAGAAGAAAAAAAAAAAGAAAACTATAAACCCTTTTCATCAAGAATGTTTCTAATAAAAAAAAGGGCTGGCGTCACAACATGTATAAAAATGTCAATAGCTAAACACAACATTGCACGGGCTTATGCAGTTGCTATTAGTTCATGAGGGCAGGACAAGTCTAAGTGAATAAGGAATGGGAGCAAACGGGAAATAAAACTGCCGATAGCTGGAGTTCAAAAAGAATATAATGCAGGAAATAAAAATTTTCTGTATGAAAGGGTATATAAACGTCACCGTTCTTTTCTCAATTCTACTTTCTTTTTTTTTTTCAACAGCAACAGACTGCGAACCAATGATGACAAAGGAAGAAAAGCAGAATGTAACACCCATAGTGACACTGAATGGTGATGATCACCCATTGACTACAGAAGAACCATTTCATTCGGATGAATTAGAGAAAAAATTCAAAGACATGAATTTGCCTCATCCGGAAGATAAAAAGATACCACCTGCCGTTATTATCGAAAAGGAAGATCCAAATAAACTTATTTTGCCTGAGCCAGTGCCTAATGTGGCAAAACCAAATGAAGAGGATGAGGAAGAGGACGTGATGGACGACGAACTCTATAGGATCACAGAATCCAATCGATACATTCCTTATGAAGAAATACTTCCGCCGCCTATTTTAGGAAGAGTTAAATCACTTCGAAGTCAAGACGTGGATATCAGAAGACACCTATTGGTGTTTGCAGATAAGCCAAGTATCACAAGGAAATCGGATCGGATCATTGTAAGAAATCAATACGGAGCTGGACCGGACGGTAAATTGGCTGACAACCTAAAACCGAAAAGAAAGCAACGATCCTACCTCGTTGCTTGTGATTTCAGTGACGAAAGTTTTAATGCTATCGAATGGACTATGGGCACGATGATGCGTGATGGTGACCATCTTCATATTGTTACTGCAGTCAATAGAGAAGATAATCCAGACACTGTGAAACAGGCGGGACTATCTTTATCAAAAGAGGTATATATAAAAAAATGTGCGTATGTGTAACAGTTTTAACAAACACACGAAAAAAAATTATAGCTGGACAAAGCATCTGAAGCAGTAACAGAAGAAGCTAAAAAGACACTTGGACAAATGTTGTTATTTGATGTTACCTTGACTACATACGCTATTTGTGGAAGAGTCAAAGACGTCTTGACGCAGCTGGTAAAGACCAAAAAAAAAAGTATAAAAAACAACACGTCATTTAATAAATAAATTTTATATAGATCACCGAATTATCCTTGACAATGGTTGTCTGTGGAAGTAGAGGTCGAGGCACAATGAAAGGGTAAAATGGAATGGAAAATAACGGAAAAAAAAAAAATAACTCATGTTCTTTTAGACTATTTATGGGTTCTGTTTCAACTTATCTTGTACACAAATCACCAGTTCCTGTTACGGTGATTAAACCTCAGAAAAAGAAAAAGGCAACAGAAAAGAAGAAAGTCAAGGCCGCACCATTGAGTGAGAGTAAGTATAGAGAAAAAGGTTATGTATTCGGTTTTATTAAAAATATAAAAAACAATAGGTATGCAAACAGGCCAATTGGCAGTAGATGAACTAAGTACAAAGGCAGCAAAATAATCTATTATTATTCATCCACCGGAAGATCCATTTCTTCATCCACAAAATGTTCACTCATCATCGGTCCAGTAGAACTCAATGTCATAAACTATTTAGAAAGTAAATAATAGAAGTAATAATAGTAGTAGTTTAGTAAATAATTATGCGTAATACCAATATTGTAAAATAAACCATTTATTGTACATGCTTACCTTTACTTGAAAGTCTCTGTTTAATGCTTCTAATTTATCCATCAATGAGATTCTTTCATTAATCATGGTAATGTTATGGATAGAATCCTCCAATTTCATCTGTTTGCGTACTTCAGTCTCTTCCTCTTCTTCGTCTTCGAAATGAACCATCTTTTCATAGTCATTAGTTATTGAAATAGTTGCCTTGATCTCATCTTGAATAATCTAATGCCATATTAATCACATCAATAGTGCACAAAAAATAGTCGATTCTTACCATCTCAACCAATATTTTTTCCAACTCTTCTGATGTAATCACTCCAATCCTTTTTGTCATATCACTCAGTCCAACTGTGATATAGACATAAGCCAATTGCTTGATCTTTTTTCTTAAAAGCGACTGGAAGCATTGTTTGACGAGCCCAGTATTCCTTTCCTTAAAATAACGCGTTATTAAACAAGGGCCGAATGTTTTTATAAAATTACCGATTCAAATATATTGGATGACTTGGTCGCAATATCTCTAAACCCTTGAATATCTGTATTGACAAACGCTTCTGCCAGGTTTTGATAAACACCTGCTTGTGTTTTGCAGGCCTTTTCTACATGATTCGCTGTACATTTCGGTAAAGCTCCCGATCGTCCCTCATAGATGAGTGAAACCAGTATAAACTTTCTGTAAGCAGCTATTTGTATCGCGCTCACAACCCTTTGCGTTGGTGCAGAGATCACTACAGTCAAAAATTCCAAGGCTCGATCAAAGTTTTTGTTGGCAATGTAGACAATAGCGCCATAGTAATAGTATTCCAATACATCCCGAGGCTTGAGATCATGTTTCTATTATGCTTATCAGTCATCTTTTTTTATATATGCCCTAGCGATTTTTTTTTACTGATTTTTCAATGATCTGAATGTCACATTCTAGGAACTGAAGAGGATAGGTATAGTTCTTTGCTTTTATACACGCCTTGACAAATGGTGCATGAAGCGAAGTCAGGGTAACGCGAGATCCTTGAGTATATCTATCAATAGCCATTACAAAGCTTTGAAGAGGTAACAATGGCTACAACAAATGCTTTAATATATCTTCTTCCATATGCCCTCTTATAGAACCTACCTCCTCTGTTACTTCAGCAAGATGTAATAATGAAAAACCAATAAACTTGACTACATATACAACCCTTCAGATGACGTCTATAAAATAAAATAAACAACTTACACTGTCTTGGTGATGATGCAATCTGTGCAGGATCAAACAATTGAACAAAGCTGTTCAAGAGCGTAAAGTACTCTGCAGCATTTACTTTTGTTGCATAAAGACATTTTGCATTTCTATATAACAATTTTCCCTGCGCATGTGAGTTGAGATAAAAAAAGAGATGAGCAATGGATACATTACAGGAAATACAAGTAGCCAATGGAATGAATAGTAGGATTAAGCACATTTAGTGTTTCTCTTGGAACTTGTGCAAGTTGTTCTATTGATAACTGGTCAAGCGTAGACACTACCTGTGTCTCATTTCCACCAGCAACAATAAGTGCAACTATTTCGTCAATCCTCGGTCTCTGTTCTTGTTGCATAATTTTAAAAAGAGAGAAAAGAAATGCGATCTTTTTTTTTTTTTTTTTTACTTTTTATAATGTCCAATCTATCACAATTATTAACCATCAAATTATGGGAAGAGATCGAGTTTGATCAGTACTCGAGCAAGTCAAAGCGTAACTGGGAAATAGAGGAACAGAAGTTACGAGAACTCCAAGCATTGCCTCCACTCAGTAGAACCGATCCTAGTAATATGAATGTTAAAAGGTTAGCTATAACTGATTGTTTGCTACATGTCATAAACCCGACTTTATAGTTTACGAGATCTCGATTTGCAGCAACAGTTTTGGGATTACATCATGAATAGAGTAACGCGTCTTCCTTCCTTCCTTTTCAACAAACTAGTCTCACTTTATTTAGATGTGGAACTTGGATAAACCTGAATGTAAGGAAAGCTGGGAACCTATTGTCTTTGATTTTAGAAAGTTAAGAGAAGGTATCATTGCCTCCTACTGGAGTAACGGTGATATTGGGTTTGCAATACAAGGTAAATGGGCTATAGCCATATGGATACGAACTTTATATTGATATCAGCTATCTAGTATTTGAATGGTCAGTTAATGCAGCACTAAAGGCACAAAACTTTGAAGAAATGTTTAAATGTCTGAGAGGATTGGTAGATGAGCTCTATCCGCTTAAAGATGTAATAGAAAATGATGTTTAGTGTATATAGATCATTGACAACTGCATATAGAGCGCTAAAAAGACTTATTTCATCGTACTTGATACCCTTTATTTTTGCTGTTACCTTAAGGATATGAAAGTCGTGATGAATCGATTGGAATTGATGAAAGATATTGATACAAAAGAAACCAAGTTTGTCAAGAAGCTCATTCATTATATCTTTGTGTCTGAAAACCCTCTAAAGTACTTCGAACTCTATCAGCATGCACCCTATCTAACTTACAAGGTGATTATGGAGCACTATCACGATACAATCCGAACTAGGGCGATAAGGACACTGAGAAAGGCTTATCTATCCGTGTCTCTTGAATGGGCAAAATGCTGGTTAGGACTAGAGCAGGAAGTGGATGTTGTGCCATGTATCAACAAGCTTATACCTTGCGTTGATCGCGTTGATGTCGATCGTCAAATTGTGTATTTCATAAAGAGTATTAGAAAGAGACATGTGGCGACCAATGGTGCACAAAGGACTCCCACAACCAGCCCAAAAATGGCAGCTACGTCAACTGCGCAAGCAGCAGAACCAAGTACAATGCCAAATTCGCCCATTACATCTTTCACCCAGTCAACAAGGGAACCCCCCGAGAGATCCTATGCAAGGCCAATCATGAATACTCCACAACAACAAAAGGTGCCAAGTATACCCAGTCCAACAAGAAACATCAAAGACGTGAATGAACCAACTGTGATGACTGATAGCGAAAAAATCGCGCTTTATGAAAAAAAGATGCGAACCATATTGGATACTCTAAGTTCAGACGATTGGAACTGATGGCTTCTTGTATATCTTTTCTTGTTTTCCCTGCTTATGAGCAATCCATCTTGCTGCTGTGAACAAGAAATCACTTAACCTGTATTTATTACACATTAGTAACAATAACAATAACAATAAAAGTTTTCTTTATGTTTGCCTGTTTAGAAATATCAACACTGAGTCATCACATATTTGAGCTCGAGACAAAGGCTGAACATGTCTTTCTGCACGTCTGCATACAGATCGAGCAATGTGCAAACTTGCGCTTGCCTTTCCCCCAGACTATGTACACATGACTAAGTAAAATGTATAAAGAGATGATTGTGTCTTACGGGCAATATGAATTGGGTGAGTCTGGGCAATTCGGTATCCATTTCATCGATCCATTCCTCTAATTTGTTTACATGAACCATATCAAATGCTGTACGATCTAGGAGACCCATTAGATTATGCTCTTCCTACTATAGCCGTAATATTTACTTAAACGAGATTCACTTGATTGTTGACGAGGAGTGGCAATATTTGAACCAATATCTTGTAAAAGACATTGTATCTACTAAAGAGCATAAGAAAAACATCGATGATTCATTAATAATTAACTATTACCGTAGTCAATCTATCAACCAGATAAGGGCCCCAGTGTGCATCATCTTCAAGGAATTCAATAGCCATGCTTTTTTTTGTAAGTACTATACACATAAACGTTTATTTTTCTTTACCCAATATTTGACGTAAGCTCATCCGTTGTACCTAATATACAGTTTAATATCGGTTTTAAACAAGACAAAGTGCATATAACCCAATGCTTCAAATATCTCATCGTCTTTCTGTCTTCGTTCTCCGTTATAAAGACTCGACGTTCCTATAGTTACTGTTTAAGATGTATATTTTATTTAGTTGCGCCCTTAGTAACCTTGATCACCAGTCTTTGTGTAGATCTTCATTGTAGACCTTTATTTTAATTAGCATTTCATTTCTTGTCATTAAGCTGAAGGGGACTTACACAAAAAAAAAAGTGCTGCAAAGCTTTTTGTGGAGAACAAGAAATTTCTCTCTTATGCGTGACACAAGCCTTTCATCTTGTCTCTGTCATTTTAGACACTTTTTTCTTGTCAATGGCTGTTTTCTTATGATAGATTTTTTTACTGTGCTCCCTCTCTTTTTGAACGAGTTTGGCATATATATATACAAGAAGTTCTCTTTGGTAGGAACTGAGCCTCGGATTTCATGAAACCACTGTTGGTTGTTGAAGCTCTTGTCGCTGTTAAGGTATATTATACCGCAGTCATGAGTCTTTGGGTTTTGCAATAGTTGCATTATTTAAAAAGCGACAAATGGCTGGACGGATTGCAACTTGGGAAAGTTCTGTATTGTGTATTTTTAGAAAAAAGCGAGAAAAACGTGGGTAGATGACATTGGCTATCGTAGCTGAAAGACAAAGCCCCACCTCTTTTAGTTGATTCCATTGTGCAAAAATAAACTCGACTGCCCCCAAAAACACGACGTGTTTTGCTCTAAATGTTCATGGATAGTCGTCATGTTGTACTTCGGTACAAAACCAAACATTTAAATTGCCATTTCTTCCCTTTTTTTTTTTTCCTCTCTCTCTCTTTCTTTAACTTTAACTCATTCCCCTTTTTAATATGGCTTTAACAGAGAAACAAAAGATGCTAGCAGGAGAGTACTATCATCCTGGTGACTCTGAACTGGATAAAGATAGAAAAAGAATTCGAGCTCTTTTACATGAATACAATGCTACAATAGACTCAGCTAAGCGTTCAGAACTAGTTCCTCACATATTTGGCTCTTTTGGAGAGCGTTCTTATGCCCTTCCAAACTTTCGTTGTGACTATGGCTACAATATCCACGTTGGCAAGCACGTAGAGATCAATTATGACTGTACCTTTTTAGATATTGCTAAAATTACCATCGGTGATTATACTCTTTTTGGACCCAGTGTACATATCTACACTGTCAACCATCCCTTGGATCCTACTGAAAGAAGAACTGGCGTTGAGATTGGAAAAGAGGTCAAAATTGGACACACCTGCTGGATTGGTGGAAATGTCACAATCTGCCCTGGCGTCACTATCGGTAATGGAGTCACCATTGGTGCAGGTTCTGTTGTTACAAAAGATATCCCTGATAACAGCGTTGCTGTTGGCAATCCTGCCAAGGTTATCAAAACAATCACACCTGCTTAAATCAAGGCGGAGTTGATGATCTATTCATTACTGCTGCAATAAAATCCTTTTTTTTTTTAACTTCATGTTGCCAACATTAACGAATAGACGACTTGCTTTTATTATTAGTTGTAGTAGTAGTAGACAACGGTTAATAATTGCTAGACATGTGCCTATTGTAAATATACCCTTCAAAGAGAAAAAGTTCCGTGACAACACTACAGCATGTTTGTCGTCAAGTGTGCCATTTGCTCAATTAGACACATCAGATACATTACCTGCTATTCTTGCTGTCAATGAATCTATATTAACATATATACACAACACTGGTTTTCCCTGGTGGACAACGATTATAGCCAGCACATTATTATTGCGATCCACGTTGACACTTCCTATAGCCGTATACCAACAACGCAGTGTCGGAAAGATGATTGAGCTTGCACCCATGATCCAAAGCTGGGCCGAGACATTAAAGGTACAAGTAGGCAAAGACTCGAGAGACAGGGGACGGCCCTACAAGATGTATCAACATGAACTACAAAAGCAATATCGAAAGAAAGTGAATGCTATTTACGCTCAGTACGGATGTTCACGCTGGAAAGTGCTATTGTTGCCTTATGTGCAGATTCCTCTTTTTGTTTCCATGTCGCTTACCCTTAGGCATTTAACAGCGTATCCATTACCCTGGTTTGGAAGGACAGCCGAATTACCAGCTGATGGTCTCACTGACGGTGGATTAGGCTTCTTTACTGATTTGACAGCTACAGATTCAACTTTTATATTACCCATCTTGATTGGTGCAGGAAACTTGGTCAATGTGGAGGTAAGGCTATATGATGAATATCAAAGCAATTATCTGACATGTATCTGTAAAAATGATAGCTCAATGCGTGGTATGCGAGAGGCATGCAGACACCGCGACAAAAGTGGATGACAAACATATTCCGAGCTTTATCTGTTGCCATGGTACCTATTGCAACTTATGCTCCTACTGCCATAAGTCTATACTGGGTTACTTCTGCTTGGTACAGCGTGGGTCAGAACGTGAGCTTTAGAGTGCCTGCTGTCAGATCGACTCTTGGTATGCCTGCTTTACCTTCCAAAAAAATAAAAAGTCACGTTTAATTTCCATTTTTGGAATCTAAAAGAGGAAAGAGGGGTGTGCAGAGAAAACGGGGGCGAGAACTGCACAGACACACAGGCGGCCAAAGACCAAATCCATTCTCCTCCCTCTTTTTAATACACATTAAAAGCTTCAGAGATGGTAAAGATATCAACCAATATATAAAAAGAAAAGAGATGGAAGAGTTCATGTTGAATGGATGCCATGTTTGATGGATGGATACATTGGATGAAAGGAAGAAAAAAAAAAAAAAGCATTCAAGAAGCATTTGGAAATTTGTAATGAAATATACATTTTGCAACCATTCGGCATTGAATTTACTTTCATCTTTTTTATATAACAACCTAAACAAAAAGAAACAAATACTAAAATATTATATGTGTATAGCCTAAGCAAATTAAGGATATTAAGGAGTTCCTTGAAATTGCCCGCAGAAAGGATGCCAAGTCTGCTCGCGTCAAGAAGAATGCTGATTCTGTCAAGTTCAAGGTCAGATGTTCTCGCTACCTTTACACCCTTGTTGTAAAGGACAAGTCCAAGGCTAACAAGCTTAGACAATCTCTTCCTCCTGGTAAGCTTAATTTGTGTTTTTGCATAATCATGATTATAACTTTTTCTTTGTAGCTCTTGTTGTCAACGAAATCTAAAGCAATAACAAAGAGGAGAGACAGGCTTTACAATGTTTATTTAAAAAATAAATATTGAAAAATACACTTGTTTTTTTTTAAAGCAAAGAAAAGAGAGTTATACTGATATTTTTTCAGAGCTTCCTTTACTATTCTTCTTTTTGGATTGACCATGTTGTCTCTTTTCTAATTCAGTTTGAACCACTGTATTCTGTCGCCATATTTTTTCGAGTGAAGTCTGTTGTGATAATCCATGTATTTCTACCATCATATTTATATACTTGTTTTGTTTTGTTTTTGTTATGTTTTACCTAATAGTAGCTCATTCACTTCATCTGCAATATCATCTCTGTGCTTTTGACTTAGGACATCCTTTACCCTTTCATGTTCCAAGTCTGCATAAGCAATTAGATAGAGGATATTGTTTGCATATTCCTTATATATCTCATGGCATGGTTTAAGATGGTGCCGTGCAAACTCAATAGCTTCCAATGCGCCTGATGACTTTAATATCTCGATGAATTGTTGGCAATATAGCTTATAGATGATAAAATGTGATTTGGATGCATCATTTGTGTCTATTTGTGGTCTATGGGTGAATCTATTATATTCAGCTATCAAGCCTGGAAAATGCTTCTCCAGTAATGTCAATGCTTGTTCAATGTCACCGTTTTTTATAGAATCATAAATATCTAAAAGAAGAGGATACATCAATATCTCCACATTAATGTATTCCCTCTGTTTATTATCTCAACCTTTTCTTGCTTCGACACTTTCCCAATTGATGGTTTCTTCATTCAATGTGTCTAATAATGCTTAGTTCGACATCTGTATATATTTACACCCTCTTTTCTAACCTGTCTTCATATTAACTAATAAATAAATAAAAAAAGAGTGAATAAGCAACATATCCTTGGTAAAGAAAAGGGCTCACTTCAAACAAAAGCAAGTATATGTATGCTTACTACTACTACTACTACTACTACTACTATTACTATTACTACTATTACTGCTGCTACTATTACTGATAATACTACTGTTGTTGTTGTATTGATCCTGTATTGACAATGCACAACTATCTAATGTGTGCATTTCTTTTAATAGTGCTTTGGCTGAACCTTTATAGCAGTAATGAAGCAAGTACTCCATAATGATAGCTCTACTTTCTACGGTATATTTCTCCATGTGATTACAAAAAAAAAAAAAAGATAATGTTATTCGGATAATAAAAAGAGAGAAAAAGAAAGCCAGTTTTTCATGCGAGCTCACACAAAGGCCAACCAACCATATTCCTTTGTTTGTTTACATGTAAACAAAAGAGAAAATAAATAATAGCCCCCTTTCAGCTAAGAATTTCTTTCTATGCACAATGTATTATGAATGAACTTCATTTGGATAAAATTAAAACAACATATACTAAACCTTAAACTATTAATAGTATGAATTCATTCGCATCTTTCTTCATTTTTCCGCTTTAATGTGATTCTGGGCCACCTTGAAGCCTTTCATCTCATCAGTTGCTTGGTATAGTTGAACAGATCGAATCCGCCACATTTCGTCAGGCCATATTCTTTTTCAAAGTTTCTTTTGAAAACCATACCCACTTTACGGCCGCAAAACTTACGCTGCATTTTACCTTTGCCGCCTATACTTCTCTCTGGATTCCTGCTTGTGGATGAGCCTAAGTTAGACTTCTCGCCGCTTAAAGGAAATCAAAAAGCTTATTACTTCGCTAGTTACTATGAGATGTGTTATCATTTGAGATTTATTACGTTCTGCAATTGATTTGAGAATCATCCCAAAAAAAGCCATAAGCGTATCAACATGTCTGCCTCGCTTTGATCTGTCAACGGGAAGCAGTTAAACATGAACAGTTTAGCAGCATTGTACAGAGTGAACTGGGCCTCACTCCAGCCAAGTGCCTTACAGTGGATAGAAGTCTTGCTGCTTCAGTGTACTATATAGCAAGTCCAAGCTCAGTAATTGATCGTAATGATTTAATGTATTCTTGCATTTATTTATTTTTTTTTGCTGGCAACTTAGGCAATGGCTGCAGCCTGCAAGTTTTTTATCGATGAATTATCATTAAAATAGCCACCCAACTCTATCGTAAGAAAGCTTTAAAACATCTTCAAAGCGTCTACGATCCCAAGTGGATACTGTTGGTTTCTGTTTTGAGTTTGTAAAGACATAGATCGACAACAAATAAAGTAAAAAGGAAAGTGTTGCATATTAAAGTGAGATTAGAAGAAGGTTTTGTAGGGAGATTAGAACTGTCGTCAATGTTATCAACATCTGATACACGTCAAAAACATAGTGAACAAAAAAACATCCATAAACATCTCAAAATATCACTCTTATTTTGATCTAACCTCTGAGTCTAAATTCTATATTTTAAAGATGTTCTTGTCACAGATTATCTCGTTCTATTATGCTGAGATCCTGTATTTTTATTTCCTCCCTTCACAGCTTCCTTCATGTTGTATATTTGCCTATTTTTTACATATGGACTCTATCTTTAATCTTATTTTTCCCACTTTACCCCGCCAACATGTATAAAAAAAATCGGGATAAAAGGGAAAATGATCTGATTCGCCTAAAAGAGGAAAGCAATTTTGACCGATCAACTTGAATATTATATAAGCAAATATTCTGTAATAAAATTATAGAGTTCTCAATCTCTCTTTTTCATCGCTTATTTAAAATGTCAATTATTGAAATAGAAGGGAATGTGATAGACGAGAAAGGACCAAAAGAAGATACAATTTCCATCACATCAGAAAAAGAACTGAAGGAACCACCTGATGGAGGAAGAGCTTGGCTTGTTCTTGTAGGCTGCTTTTGCGTGAGTAAGAGGGGGGAAAATTGATTTACAGAAAATAACTTTTTTTTAAAGGGTCTATTTTGCACGTAAGAATATATTTAAACATGTATATAGAAAGCATGACTTTTTAAATGCTATATAAAGACAAGGATACAATTACGTATGGGGAATATTTTTAAATCATTATAATCAGCATGTATTCAAGGACCAAATGACAGCACTCTCATGGATAGGTTCGTTATGGTTAGCATTAGCCAATATCGTAGGACCCTTTTACGGCTGGTTTTCCGTAAAGGTCGGATACAAGTGGATGCTGATCATTGCTCTCTTTCTATGCACCCTATCCATGATGCTCTCGAGTATAGCAACTCAAGTAAGAACAAGATGGGAAAAAAAAAAAGAAAAGAAAAGACAGAGACCAAGACTCGAAAAAAAAAATTTTTTTTAATAGATTTGGCACTTGTACATCACACAAGGTGTCTTGTCGGGGATCGGTGCCTCTCTTGTCTGGTTTCCATGCATCAGTGCTGCTCAACAATGGTTTTCCAAACGTAGAGGCTTTAGTGTTGGCATTGCCATATCAGGATCAGGATTTGGTGGACTGATTCTGTCCAATATTGTGCAGGCAGCTATAGATCATGTAGGATATCAATGGGCACTTCGTATCATCGGATTCATTTCGTTTGTCTGTCTTGGTATCGCATCATGTACCGTTCGACCTTTGAATGAGCCTTCGAAACGAGAGAATGCAAAATTGACGATATTTGATATGCGCCCGTTTCGAAATAAGCAGTTTGTCCTGTTGTTCTGTATTCAATTCGTTGGTAATTTCGCATTCAATGTTCCATCAAGCTTCTTACCAGGTAAAGAGAGAGAGAGAAATTTTGAAGAAACGTCATTGTTAATGATTATAATAGCATATGCCAATTATCTCGGTTTGGATCCATGGATTGGTAGTAATATGTCTGCCATTATCTCAGGTGTCATGATTGTCGGTAAAATATCCAGCGGATTCATTAGTGACTTTGTAGGAAGAGCCAATATGACGTTCTTTGTGACCACAATGACGGGAGTGATGTGTCTTGCTGTCTGGCTGCCTGCAAAGAATGCAGCGACGATCTGGGCATTTGCTGCCATGTTTGGATATTTTGGTGGAGGCCACCTCACGATGGTGCCTGCTCTGTTAGGTCAGATAGTAGGTATGGATGATATTGAAGCAGCGAATGGGATGCTCTTCTTTGCTTGGTTTTTTGGCGGTCTATTTGGATCACCCATTTGTTCAACGCTTATTAATGATGGAAGTGATCACCCTACCTATTCGCATGCCATTATCTTTAGTGGTGTCCTCATGATCTTTGCTGGTCTCCTAGCTTGGACCATCCGTGTGATGAGAGCAGGATGGAATCCGGTTGTAAAAGTGTAGGACTGTTATGCAGTTTAAAGGTCAATGATATAAACATTATAGAATTATTAAAACATATATGCATTAATAAACAATAGCTAACCAAACAATTTCATGTTTTCTTGAAAGGGGAGACATAAAATGACAAAACATCGGCGTACGAACATCGTCTTTGTGTACCCTCCTTTTTTATTTATTTTTCGCTTTTATTTTATTTTATTCCTTTTTTTTCTTGTTCAAAATATATATACTCCTTTGAACTACTAAATGACGAGAATCTTAGATAATATATTTCTGCTATCAACCATTATACTTGCTTATGTAAAAACAATCATTACATACATCTTTATTTCGTATTTATACCCTTTCTAGGTAGCTTGGTTGATTGCATTTATTGGAGCATGTGTATTTAGAGTAGGTGTCAGCGGAGGAGCATGGTGGATTATTGTATATGAACTTTTAATCATCATTGGAGTCACTTGTATATTAGTCACAAACACATTTACTCATTATCGAATGATGGTAAATAAAAAACAAGCCCAAAAAAAAAAGCAACAAATAATGAATTGGATGTAGATTTTGGCTTTCTTGGGAGCCAGTATTTCCTTATTAACCATTCAATTGGATTATATTATACCTGCTTCAAGAGTATTTGGCGGTGGAGCAGGGGCATTTGCTACTGGATATATTATATTGATTATCATTCAGGTATAGTTCAGTCCAAAAAAAAAAAAAGGCTAAAAATAACATGGACTGTCTATAGTTTTTATGGGTCATGATTTTTGGTAGCGATCCAGAGAGCTATATTGGTCAATACGGACCTTCTCATTACGGCAATTCAGTTGGAATACAACATCATCGTCAACAGCAACCACAACAACAACAAGCATACGAAATGACGGGAGAAAAGACAATTCTTTCTGACCCTCCTGTTCAAACAGCAACAACACCAACAACAGCACCAGCAACAACAACAACAACACAGGAACCTAACACAGCATTATCTGCATCAAATCAAGTGACAGAGATGTCTCAACCAAGCCCTATTGAATATCGTGAAAAAGTCAAAGCCTTACATGCATGTAAGTTGATTTTGTTATCTATGATCAATTAGACTTATCAATTGAAAATAGATCAAGCAAACCCAGATGATCCCAATGAATTGAGTTTTGCTAAAGGAGAAGTATTGGAGATTGTAGATCGAAATGGCAATTGGTGGCAAGCACGTAAAACGGATGGAACAGTTGGTATTATTCCAAGCAATTATGTAAGTTAAAAAAGATGTTAGTGTCAGATAACATTAATTCTGCCTTTCATTTAGTTTGCTCCTCCTGCATAAATCGCGTCTTTGTTATTATTGCAGTTTTATATCTGTATGGAATCATTAAATATTAAAAAAAAAATGTTACAGGTGCCTAAATTAACCCTGGACTTTTGGTACACCTAAAGGTGTCGCATTTTTTTAAATACCCCCCCCCATATTAAGTACATAGCACTGATTCATGATCCATAATCTATAGTATTTACCAGCAGTTTCTGTAGTCAACAAAGAGGACGCAAGGAATGAGGCTAAAAAAAAAATGACGCTATTTTGCTGTAGAGGAAGCTCCATGGATACCATTAATCATGCGATGTAGCTTTACATAGTATGGCCATATTTCAACTTTGACGAAAGAATAGCCTCAAAAACTACTCCAAGATCACTACAAAATATAAGGATGCGAGCGTAAAAAAAAAAAAAAAAAAAAAAAAAAAAAATACATGAAGAATATACATTTAGTTTGTTTCGTGAATCAAACTAAATTAAGATAATTAACAACAAAGAATTGAATGTAAACTTGCGATTTTGCTATTGTCATGGAAACACTAATGCGCCCTTGTATATTAAAGTATTTGATGAGTCAAAGGATACTCCCATAGATATTAACACGTATTTGAATTTATTTTTCAAGGATGAATAATTGGTTTCTCTCCAGCTGTTATTTTTAAGGCCATTGGTAGCGGCAGGAACCTCTTTTTTGCCTTAACGACAGGCCTAAAATACTTTACTTGCTTATAGACTATTGCCAGGATGGAAATTGATTATAAGGGTTTATTTGTGTATTGAACATCTTTATTGATATAGGCACCATGACAAGCACTGTCTTCAACCTATAATCTGTTCCCATTAATTTGTTTTCAGTGCATTTGGCAACTCAACGCTACCAGCTGGACATATTTGCAGAGACTAATTAAAAGTGATGATCAATTAGCAAATACCCATTTTTTAATGTATAGTAATAGGTCTTTGTGCAAGCAGCTCTGCAAGTATATTCTTCCATTCGCTTTGTCCTGAGTTCTTTGCGCAGCGCTGTCAATTCAATAAACTGTCTCCATCTCTTCATCTTTTTTTTCGTCTTGATTAGGATGGCTTCCGGGCCCCATGCTCATCCTTGTCATCCATTCTGCTTTCTGGTATTTAAAGCACCATATTTTGATCATCCTTGTAGCCTTTCCTCCGTACTAAATCCATCAGATTTCCATCCATCGTAAGGTGCTGTAAAAAACAAGGTAAATTGTCACACTTTCTGAAGGCTTCTTTGACCAGCTTTTTCAATTGACTCGATGCACACTGCTGTATTCAACTTTACCTTTGTAAAAATCAGTAAGTCGATGACAAGCAAAGTGGATTCTTTTTAAAAAGAAGAAAGAAAGCATTATTAAATTAGGTTTTTGAATGTGAGATTTATAGGAAATATCAATGCTATTATTATGATTATCTGTCAATGCTATTAGGCGCTATAAAGAAATGTATGTTCTACTGCAAGGTTATACTCGAGTTATTATGAATGACTTGGATAACATTATGCCAAAAATAAAGACATTAGAGTAAAAAAATACGCGTAGCTATAATCGATTATGATTCATCAAAAGCCCATTTTATCTGAACTCTCATTGTTAGCCAAGTAAGACTTGGTCTAGAATAATTGCTTCAACTATGCCACATGACCTGGCTTTATATAGTTAAACCTGGTGTTAGTGATTTGCGTCGGATTGGAAGGCTGTTTTTCCATGGGGCCTCTTTTGATTAAAATAACGAATTTTATTTAATTAAACGTCCTATTGAGCACAATAAAAGACCACCCGGAAGAGATCAAAAGGTCAGTAATGGAGACTAAAAAACTTCTTCTGGGATCAAGGGTAGAGAACGTACTGGCGAAAAGGTACATGGTACAATCAGTTGCGATGGAAACGCTTTGGTGTCAAAAAAGCTTTTCTCAGTAAAGAAGCGTGCAATAACACATTGAACAGAAGCACTAGTACAACGAATAGCGCGAATCAGACGATCTGCGAAAGTGCCAAAGGCCATAGTCGACCTTGTCTTGGTGACTCCACTTGGGACACACTGGATCACGCAAATTTGCGGGATCCAGGGGATCGTACCCACTGCGAACAGTAGTTGCAAACTTATTTAGTTGTGAACGAAGCTCAGTCCCATAGTCATTGTGAATAAGTAGAGCAACGAGGTGGTGACCCGAATAGTGTATATCGAGAATACGGCTGCTATTGGTATGCAGGCGTCATAGTCGGCTACGTAATTGACTGAGGGGATACGGCGCTGGACAGGAACATAAAGGTATTTAAAATCTTGATGTGCAGAAGGAGAACTGTATGTACGAGCAGCAGCAGCTTGGCTTGGAAGACGTTTCGTAGCAGTTGGCCTTGCAACCTTAGTTGGCGGAGGGAGCTCAGAATCCGGAGGGGAAGGTCGCTTTTGGAAGGGTTGGCGTTGCCATGATGATTCAGGAGGACGGGTGACAGCGTAAAGATTGGCGGCGGGCAGTTCAATGGCAGGAGAAACCTGAGCTAGACGCTCGGAGAGAGGTATTTTCTTGCTGGAGTCGAGCTATTTCAGCCTTGGCAGCAGAAAGTTCTGCTTGTAGTTACTTCAACGCTGTCGTAGTATGGACGCACTTTCCAATTCAGATAAAAAGAATCGAAAAGTGATGAAAAGCGAGTGATTTATTTTTTCAGAACAGACATCATCTTCCTCTCAATTAGGCAAGGCTGATTACTCCTTTTCCACATATATATTACTTTTGTATCACGTAAACTTCAAAAGGTCAATCCTTTCTTATGAATTAAGTTACTCGTATACAAGGCTTCAAACTCTAATTTAATGTACAAGGCATGACCTCCTCTCCATACTGTGATTAAATTAGTTAATCGTTTTGCCTTTAGACTGTTCTTGGTCACTTTGGATTTTGTATATATACGACATATTTCTTTTGCTTAATGCTATGAAAAAACCCCCTCTTTGGGATCAAGGGTTAAAAAAAAAAGCAAAAGGGAAAGGAATGCTAACGACACTGCTTAAGCCATTCGAGGGGAGCTTCTGACCATGTAGATGGATAGTGAGGATAGCTGTGGCCAAGAGAGCGCCAGGCCCGAATGGTACTGAGGGGGATAATAGAAGCATATTCAGAAGGGTCTGGTATGGCCTCAGACATAGAGAGACGTCGGCAAATAATGGTGCAAAGTTGAGCATAGGATGTCACGGACGCGGTTTTGCCACCAGGGTAGCCAACCTAACATTCGTCCTATACAGCGGCTACGTTCTGCGTAGGTCATAAGAGCATTGTTTTATTTTTTATTTTTTTATCACCTAAGTTTATCACAGAATACACACACATGTATTATTTCTGAGGAGCATTCCAACGCGCGATATCGAGTATAGTAATGAAGAAAAAATAGTGTTTATTAAATGATGTTTATTTGGAATAGATCGTGCTTTGATGGTAGAGGGCAGTTGAGTCTATAAATTCTGGAAATGATACATATGTTTTCTCAAACTGTGATATTTCTGTATTAACCATTCGTTTACTATCATTATCATGATGACTGCTATTATGTTTGCTGTCTATGAATGGATGTTTGAATGTATTCATAAGGTGGTTCAACAGTTCGCGAATTGTATGAGATTTGCGCATCATTCAAACAATAGCAAAGAAAAAAAAAAAAAAAAAAAAAAAAAAAAAAAAAAAAGAAAAGAAAAGAAAAGAGAAAGAAAAGGGGGAAGAAAAAGAGAGAGGGGGGCGAGAGAGTGTGTATGCTTGAGCACTTAAAGATTCGTTAATATACATTTCACATGTGGCCATTCGAGGCTCACAAGAGATTAAAATCATATCAACAAAATATTCAGTTTATTAAGATTAACAGCATCCACCACCCTGTTTGGCTTTCTCATCAGGTGTTTGAGAGACAAGGATGGTTTGTCCAGTAGTAGGTTTGATTGTATTGTTGGATGATTCCAAAGCCTTGTTGGATACAATGCGATATATTTCTATAAATATTATTAGGATGCCTGTATACATTTAAACTGGATAAATACCTGTTAGAATTTGCTGAAACGATTGATCAACATTAGTTGCATCCAAAGCAGATGTCTCAATAAATGATAATCCATTATCAGCTATATATCATGTAAGTAAGTAATTGTCAACTAGATCATTTTAACTTACAGGCAAATTGCTTGGCTTCTTCTGTAGGAACGGCTCTCAGATGTCTCAAATCACTCTTATTACCAACAAGCATAATAACAATATTAGAATCCGCATGATCACGGAGTTCTTTTAACCATCGATCAACACTTTCATAAGTTGAATGCTTTGAGATATCATATACTAACAAGGCTCCAACAGCACCACGATAGTATCTTTTTTCTTAGTTGTTAGTGTCTTTAACATCATTTCTTTTTCCTCTATAATACTTACGCACTAGTAATAGCGCGGTATCTTTCTTGACCAGCTAACAAAAAAGAAGTTATTCTTACATCATTCCCTCTTCTATTTCTTTTTACCTGTATCCCAAATTTGAGCTTTGATCACTTTATTATCTACTTGAATACTTCTAGTGGCAAACTCTACACCAATAGTACTTTTGGATTCCAAATTGAACTCATTACGAGTAAAACGACTTAATAGATTTGTCTTTCCAACACCTGAGTCACCAATAAGGACAACTGATAGAAAATAGAAAGTAAGTATATAACATGTCTCCTTTTTCGGTCCATTCTAATCTATAAAGTGTACACACCTTTGAACAGGTAGTCATATTCTTCATCTCGACTCATTTTTTAAAAAGAAAAAAAAAAAAAAAAAAAGATAAAGAAAAAAAAGAGAGAAGGAAATCAAGCGCACCTGTGTCACCATTATCTCCAAGTCACATAGACAAGTAAATGTCAAAAAAGAAAGCACCTCTTGTTAATGCAAAGCTGTTGTGTAAGTGAATAATTTGATTTTGATAAATAATTGATCCACTATTTATCCTTTTTGAATTCTTTTTTTTTTTTTTGTTTCTATACCAACAGAAAAAAAAGAAAGAATCTAAAATATGTGTTTAATAATAAACAAGTGTCCGTCCGGATTAGATCAATCCGGCTGGGTGTCAATGTGTAATAAAAAACCTTTTATGGGATCATGGGTAAAAAAGAGAAAAAGAGAAGTTGTTGAATCATTTAAAGAGTGGTTGTCCATATTAGTTGAGGTATCACAGCACAGTGATGCAGCTGATTCAGCTTATGGAAGATGGTGCATACTATTGGCCGGCATGATTTTCATAAAGTACGACATCTAACTCCGGAATGACTGTATGTGAAAAAAGGGGGGTGGGCTTTCCTTTCTCTTTATGCTACCAAGTTCATTATTACACTTTACCAGTAGACAAAAGAACCGTTATCCTTCTTACATCAACACATTTGAGGATACTCTAAGAGCACTTTCTTTATTATTACCTGGTATATATCATACATAATAATGGATTGACAAGAGAGACTAACATACACTCAAAGGACGTTTTCAAGACAGCGACCTTTGTTCACAAACTAGTAATTGATGATAATGTGGATATATACGCGTCTATTAACCTTTTAACAAAAGTACTTACAGGATTGAATCTCATTTCACTGGCACACACAAAAGTTCTAGTTGAAAAGCATTTGAAGACACAGGCTGTTGATGGATCATTCAATGCTCGATTCATTCAAAACTATCAGACCAAAAGGCTATGCCGCCTAGCCTCCTGGACATTAAGCATCATCTCCTACACAGAAGTCATCGTAGAGATGCTTTTGAACAGAAGAGTATCGCGAATGTCTCGGTGGAAGTGGATCACAAGCATAGAAGGAATAAAGTATGTACATCATCATATCCTGCCCTCCTTTTTTTCTGATATTTCTATAATTGACAGATTTCTACTTCGGCTTGCTTTGTTTTATGGAGCAAAACGGAAGATGGTACTTCATCCAACACATTATATAAGGAACGTGGATCCAGATACACTCGATCTACAACACAGAGATGATAAGCTCGAATTATCACATCTTGACCCAAGAACAGGAACAGCTCTATCCAGAGAGCGTGATACAAAAGCTCAGAGCAGAAGTGGATGGTCCCATATGGGCGAACTGCTGTGGATGGTACGACCATTGGTTTATGGTAATGGCATAGGGATTGAAGAGCATACTCAGTTGTCTGACCTTACTCTTTAGCGCTCATGATTTTGGTTGAACAAAGAAAGGTATCGGCTCGCTCTGATCCAAAAGAGGTACAAGGAGACGAAGAAGAGCAGACAGAAAAAGATGAAGAGTCATTATCATGGAAACCATGGCTAGCATCTCTCTGTATCGATTGGATATCTTTGATAGCAGTCAATATGCAGATTCCAAACCGATTGGAAAAAGAAGAATTGAAGAGAAGAAGTTATTTATTTCTTTATTATTTCCTTAGAGGACCTATGTACACAAAAGTTACAAGGTACTTGTACATGAAAAAAAAAAAAAAAAAAAAAAAAAACAGGTATATTGACTTTAACGTGCACTAGGGTACTGTTAGATAGATTTTGCGATGCAACAGAACATAGACCTATTGTTTCCATTGTTACAGGTAGATCCAAATTAACAAAAAAAAAAGATAAAGCGTTTCTCACGGATATAAATGTGTATATTTGAATAGCTGCATTGAATGACTATAGGCCATTCTGGCAAGACTCTTATTTCTACACGTCTGGTTCATAGATTGAATCCTTGATTGAAATGTATGATTTTCCTAGTGTTCAAGCAAATAAATAAGATCATCCCCCTTCTTTATATCTTTACAACTTTTTATCTATAAATGGCGTGTTTCATTTAGGCTTTGTCATCTCTAAAGCTCCGCATAATGAATGGTTCCTGCAAAGTTCTCTTGGTGTGAAATACCCTTGTTTAACTATTCAACTACAAACACCCTGTTTGCCTCGATGTATTGTCTGTATTAAGTATTAAATTTCTTTTATTTTAGTGCATAATGATTATTTCTTACCCTCTCCTTCTCTCCCTACTTCTCATGATATCCTGTTACCCAGCTGAACGATCAACACTGGTTATATATCTCTGAAATGTATTGCCATAGGCATCACGAATTATGGAAAACAATGTGATATAGAGTACAAGAAGAAAAGGATCGCGTTTATTTATTTATGAATATATACTTGTGTGCGTGTGTGTGGGAATAGAAATAAAACAATACGTATATACAAAAAAAGTTGAATTATACACCACCACCACTTCTGCCAACATCTTGTACACTAAGCCCATCATTTGTCTGCTTCCATCCTTGTCTTGTCTGATGATCTCCTTTCATATAATGACTATGTGCTTTTGCAGGTCTTGCTTGACTACGAATGATTGTTCCAACAAGTGCAATCGTTGTTACTGGGAATACGACGTAATTAAAGAACTTTCCGGGCATATTTCAGAAATATAAAAGAGAAAAAAAGACAGAAAAAAAAAAAGAAAAGCTAGAGTTTATATAGTTTTTTTTTTTTGAATGCGTAAGTGAGATTCATGCATTCGGAGCATGAATTAACTTATAAAAACTTAACAAATCCAATAGAAACTTGGTTGTTGACATTAGATATCAAATCAACTGCTTCTTTGATAGAACCAAATAACGTTTTATCATTGCAATCAATTTCCATTTTATCTTGATGATAGAGCTCTCGAAGTTGTTCTATTTGGTTATCAAGTAACTTTATCATCTTGAAAAATGAATCTAGTTTGGGTTATTAATTACTCTTTTTTTTAAAATTATTGACCTACCGTTCATTTCCTTGTCTTTTTCTTTACAAAAATAGTAATGATATAGCCTTAAAAGAAGGGTAGCCTCTGCTTTGAATAGAGCAGGCGTATGTGCACACTGAATGACAATATCGATTTCATTTATGGATACTTTACAAAAGTAGTTAGCACTGATCTATTCTTCTTTTTTTAGCAAAACTCACGCTTTGTCAACTTTAACATAATTGGGCTTGCTGGAAATGACGCTAAAGTAAAATAAGCTTGTTCGGCATGGCATATCATATTCTTTATCTCATCCCTTGTGTTCATGTTAGTATTTATATGCTTTTCATTGCTTCCCCTGCTTACATCCTGCGTCCTTCAGAAAGCAAATTGGCTAAAATAGATCGATACTGTTCATTCGTCATCGACGGATCAACTATACACCGAATACTTGACTGCTTATAGTTCAATAATTTCTATAAAAGACAAATGTTAACTACATCATGACAAAGTATATCTTAAACTACTTGATGAAGAGAATCAGGGTGTTTTCTCAATAATCTTGCAAATGGATTTGTTTTATCCAACAATGTTAAAAGTTGATATGACTGATTTAGCCTATTTGTTACTTCATCTAGTCCTCGTCTTTCTATACTTTCAATTAAATCTGAAGTGCAAGGTATGGCAAAGTGAATGTCATCCACGATCATTTCAGCTAATGGGAATCTCAGTTCCTTTTGTTCAGAAGATATCATGATTAGAGTACAAGTGGCCTTCAACGGTAAAGAGCATCGATTGAGATCGAGAGGAATGTCACGCTCCCACACAGAATATCGTTCCATATGCTGTTCATAGTGTGTTTCGAAGCCTACGACAGGCACATATTGAGTCATACCAGCATCCTTTGTGGATACCTCGAACGGAAACAGGTCAAGCGATAATTCCCAATGCTCTAATTGTAGGAACATTGAGGTTTTTATGCAAGCGCGCAAATAAGTTACTGGCTGTAAACATGTGTTGGCAATCGAGGCTGGCTTGACAACAGGACATAGAGTAAACTCAAAGCCTGTGTCTTGTAATGAATTTCCCAACCCTTTCTTTCTTCTTATGTCGATACTCTGAATAGCATACAGCGTTTGATTGACAGAGACCAGTTTATCATTTAGTTCCTATTTCCCAACAAAAACATAAATGTGGTGTAAGGAGGATACTATTCTTCGTTCTCACTTGTTCTTCTCTTTCCATCTCTTTTAGACTTGTTTCACCTAATGCCAGCTCTTTCAGGGCATCTTGTATCAGAACATGAATCGCCTCAGGGTTATTTCCAACTGAAGTTGCCTCAGGGTTGAATTTGACTCTTTGGTATTCGCCATTGTCACACAGCACCTCTAATGTAATCCTATCAAGGATCCTTAATGCTGACACTTGGTTTAAACCTTGGAATGGTAATAGTTCCAGCTCAACCTCCCTTTGATTAAATTTAAAGGACATCATGGATACTTTGCCAATTCCATTAGACACAACATAATTAAAATCCTAAAGAATGAAATGATCGATTCAAGACCAGCATCAAAACGCGTATGATTTTTTCTCTTACCTGAATCTTGTCCAAGGAGTAAATTGGAGCTTGGATATTGAACTGTTGAAGATGAACAGTACTGTCATCAACAAACTTGTAGTACATCATTATGGTTCCCTGGTTACCAATCGCCAGTATACCACTCACTTCTTCTGATCGAACTATCTCTATGTACTTTACTTTTTCATTGTCAAAGGCTATCAGCTTCAGATCTTGGACAAGATTAGCCTGGCTCGAGTTACGACAAAAGACAGCTCCTAACGCAGTACCATAAATAAAACCTTGGTCCCTTTTGAAGAACTGTTAGCTAACGAATGCGTTCTAGTGTATGTATTACTTTATCGAAAAGAACCGAGCGATGACTGGATCCAAGTTTTGATAGAATTGATGATAGGTCACCTTTGAACTTACGCCACCTAAGTCAGCAGGAAGTACTTTACCTTGATATATCTCACATTGTTGATCAGAAAACATGTAAACGCCACTAGGGTCGGCAGAAGCAATATAATATACTCTTTCACGAATCTAACATAAAAAAAATACTGTATCAGATATACATATGTCTTTGATAGTCAATAATGTCCTAACCTTTTGTAATTCATAATGATTTGTCTCAAGCCTTGGCCTTTTCTCTGCTTGTCTAGTACTTTTTTTTTAATAAGTGAGAGAAATGCAAATAGAGGATATATGTACTTTTGTTGAAAGACATTCCACAGATACACATTACCACGTTTTGTTAATAGATAACATACACAGGCTTCTGTCTGCTCACATGAAATAATGGCTTGAGATAAGGGCTCATCAGGTAACTTGGTTGTGATCTCTCTTCCTCCCACACACACACACACAAAGAGGAAAGGGGAGGTAATTTTAGTTTTATATGGAATCAATAATGTTGCTCATTATGTTACCTCAATGTTGGGAGAGAATATCGTTTGGTGATCATTAATAATAAAACTATAGTTATGAAAAGAGCAACCTAACAAGTGACACGATCTGATGTCATTTGATTCAATATTGAAGGAATGCTCAATCTTGGTTTCGATCCATTCCATAAGTCCCGTTTACAAGAAAAAAAAAAAGAAAAAAAAAAAAAGAAAAAGTATGCAGCTGGAATAAACCACTTTTGGTGTAAGGGCAAGAGAAATGAATACCAGATATACGTACACGGTCCTCCCTCTCTCTCTCTTTGTTTATCAAGGAGATAAAGCGATTGAAAAAACTCCTTATCCTTTTCAAGTAAAAGGTTGAACAATAAAATATCTGAAATTAAAAGGCGTCTTTTATGCTGAGCGTTGTTCTTTTTTCAAAATCGCTTACTTGTGAAGTTTCATGGCAGTGTCTTCATTTAGATCCTCACGATGGGATCCTATACTTATAATAGCTCAAGTAAAATGCAAAATAGAATAAACTACATAAAAAGCGCTTCTGTTCATATAAATGTATATAGATTGCAGCATTACAATCACTAATATACATCATCCTGAGCATCATTCTCTTGGCTGCAACCATACTCACAGGCACTGAATTATCCCTCGACCTCATCTTTGTAGATACAGAAATTCGAGCAGACACAGGCTTCGGTTGGACTGTACTCATTGTCTGGATGGTGAGTGCATGTGCCAGCATACCTCTTCTTGTACTCATTGTTCAACGAGCAAAACAAATTCTTGATTTCGTGTTAACATTTCATTTTTTCCACTTGATCTTTGTCTGGAAAGTATCTCATCATTTTCCTATAAGCTTTACCTGGTGGGTACTTCAAGTCGTGGATATTTTGATTATGACACTTGGAGGAGAATGGGCATGTATGCATCGAGAAATGAAACCGATTATGATACATAGTAACAACAGTAACACACGGCAGCAAGCAAGTGGCAGCACGAGCATCATGATAGATGATCATAATGATGATTCAGCAGAGATTGGAAAAAAGAAGAGAAAAACCTCGGATGCGAATGTAGAAGACAGTGTGGAACCAGAAGATAAGGGCTCATTATTGACTGCCATGAGTAAAGCTAAAAAGGCATTGTCAAGTGGTCATAGTGGCAGTAGTAGTAGTCATCGTTATGATGTGATACCAATGAAGGATATAGACGCACATAATGAAGTGTAAATAGCAATAAATCATATAATAATAATATTCCCTTCCTTACAAACAGTATATTTTAATGCAGCAAAGGGAGTACTTCTTAAATGCAGCGAAAGTGTGCCTAATATGCATATGTATTCCAAAGTTAGAAACCTTTATATGCGGTATGCTCGTTATAGGTACATGAAATGATCTCTCTCTCTCTCTGCTTTAGTGCCATATATTTATTTGAATTTAAAAAGCTCATTTGCAGGTGATTCACCGTAGAAAAGGCAAAGAGGACTGACGTGTAACCTGGCTGAATGTCTCTTTCTACTTGACGCCATTTGATTGGCTGTAATAACGTAAAAGCCAATTAAAATAATATCCACATTTTTGTATTTCTTCTTCTTTTTCCCTCTTTCATCTACAAAATAATAAAATGAGCTCATCTGATATTAAAGAAACTGCCCAACAAGCTATCGACGGACCCAAGCAATTCTTTAAAGAAGGTGTTCAATTTATCAACCGTTGTAAAAAGCCTGATCAACAAGGTAACTAAAGAAAAAAAACCCTGCCATTTGTTCATCTTTGACACTTGTAAATAGAATTCTTAAAGATCACTCAAGCTGTTGCTATGGGTTTTGCTGCTCTTGGTGCTTTAGGCTACTTGGTTAAGGTAAGTTTATGATACAAAAAAGAAAGAGGTAAAGGAAATATAACGTGTTATTATAGCTCATCCACATTCCCATCAATAACATCCTTGTCGGTGGTGCCTAAGTAAAACTAGTCTTTCTTTTTTTATTACTCGAATAGTTTTTGTATATACATATAAAATAATTATTGCTTACGCCTGCTTTAGAGCTTGATTCACAACTTGATTCATTTGGTAGTAAATATGGACTGAGTACATCTTGTTTAATTTGGGTGGCAGTTTCCTCAAGAGAGAGACATCATTGACGTGTGTGTGTGTGTGTGTGTGTCTAATAGTGATGATTTATGACCATTTTGATCAACATTATTGCCCCACATCAACATCTATTTCCATCTAAATGACTCTCTCGTACCATAGCTCTTTCACCGCGCTTAAAGAGCAGGTATACCACAACATGAAACATTCTTTCTTGACCTATTGTCACTAAAGATATGCGACATCTTTGCTCAATCTGAGGGATCAGACCATGGCTTCTTTAGGATATGTCTACTCATCAAAGAGGGTTTTT